ATTCCCTTGTCTGCAGTCCCTTGGAGATTCTCCAGGGAACGCGGATCCCTGAATCTGCTTTTTCCAAGATTCCGGCCTCTGGAAGAAGCCCTTTGGTGGCCCCTAGCCAGAGTCTCTTCTTGGATGCTTCCAGCAAAGGTAGCTGAGCGCACTGTCTCAACCAGTCAGCCCTTATTCACTCAGCAACCCTCCTCGAAGCCCTCTCAGTGTCAGGCTCTAGGCTGGGACTCCAGGCCCTGGTCCTGCCCCAGGGGGTTGCACATGAATCTCCCAGGGTCAGTGGGGGTTAGAGAGCAGATGTAGGAAAGAATGAGGAGTCAGGGTCATAGGAGGGAGGCCTTGGGGTCAAAGGGGGGTCCTCACTCTGAGCCCAGTCTGCCTCCCCGTCTGTGCTCTGGCCGCCTCCAGCCTCTCCTAGGCCAGCAGAGCTCTGGGGATGCTGGTTTCCCTACAATGGTCTTGCTCTCTCTGCAGGTCCTTGGAAAGCTCGGCAGCCTTCTGCAGCTTTCTCAAGGTGGCTTCAGGGTTTCTGAGCTGCTCACACCCATGCCTCTGCGCATGCTGTTCCCTGGGCCTGGAGTGCCCTCCCCAAGGCTGCCTCCCAGCCTCGGTCCGCGCTGGTGCTTCAGCGAGCCTCTCCCTCCTCTCTGCTGCCTCCAGCAGCCTGAGTCACACCCCACTTTGGGACTGGTTCCTGGGCCCCCTCCCTCCATGGAAAATCCTGCAGGGTGGGGTTTCACCTTGGCACTGTTCCAGGCAGACCCAGAGCAGTCCCTCAGTGCTGCTGAGTGGGTGAAACAGGGGCCTGTGGTGCTTACGCACGAGACAGACTCAGGTCTGCTCTTAAGGACAGCACAGCTTCACGGGAGAGAAAGATAGAAACAGAGCAGAAGAAACTCAGGGGCCCGTGGAGCTCCAGAAAGACATCTGGGCCAAACTAGGGGGCCAGAGAGACTTCCTTGAGGAAGTGGCATGCCATGGAGAGGACAGAAAACCTGCTGGGCAGGCGGGCCAGGACCAGATGCTGCCAGGGCCTGGGGACAGCCTGATAACGATAAAAAGTAATACCCAGATATGAGACTTCCTGAGCCAGTTTCTAATTGCCTGGTCCCTTTTGGAGGACTTCAGATGGGCTGGTGTTTGAGCTATTTGGGCAGGGTTGCCCTGTACAGTCACACAGGTTATACACTGCACAAAACTGACCCAGGAGGCAGGTGAATCTGAAATCCTTCTGCACCTGAACTGTCATCAAGTCATATTCTTTGGTGCAGAGCTGCCTGAGCTCAAGAGAAGGGGTGACTCTGCAGACTCACACCGAGCTGACATAGGCACTAGTAGACACCGTGCATATGGGGAAAGGCTGTGCATGCACACATGTGAGCAGTTGCCCAGGGTCCAAGCATTTCTCCGTTCTCCCCGCTCTCCATTCCCATTACTGCCTGGGAAGCAGGGACCCCTCTCCCAGGTGGGATCTAGAGAAGCAGATCCCAGGAAGCTGGGAAACCCGCAGACACTGCTGGTCAGAATCCACCAGGACGTATCACTGATGGCTGGTGGCGGTAGGGCCTCCTCGGCTAATGTAGCAATTTGTCATATTAAGTCATTCACTAGCAATTGAGTCCCCCTTGATTAATCTCCCAGAATTAGCCAGTTGCATTTTGAGCAATTAGGGTTAATTGCAGCCTCATTTGGCAGAGGAGAGAGCCCCATAATTATTTCAGGAACAAGGCAAGGGGCCGGTGGGCTGCGGTGGCAGCAACGTCCTTGGCGTTTGTCGCACATGTTGGAGTGGGTAATGACATAGTTAAGTGTAATTAGATACGATTACTCAGCACTGGGCAGCGGCTGTTGGTGAAGATGCCCCCATCCCACCAGCATCTGGCTGGTTTTGCAGAACTGGGCATAGCAGCACTGACCCGAGAACGCTGCAGGTTGGAGAAGGAGTGACTCTTTCCCTCCTGACGCGCTGGTATTTAGACGCCACCTGGGGAGACAGCCCATCCCAATCTTGCTTGTTTCAGGATACAGAAATACCTCAAACTGAGGACAGAGGCATTTTCTTTTTTTATGGCAGGAAATTGCTGTATCCCTGAAATCATCCTTCAGGCAGATCAATGCTGTGCTGTGGACCAGGCCGGCTCAGCATGCAGCTCCATCCCCCACCCCACCCCCACCCCCCCACCCCCGCCAGGTGACACTGGTGTCTCAGTTTCCTCATCTGTCAAATAGGGCCATGAAGGTAAAGTCCAACATGGCATCCAATATCGTGGGTGTGGAGGGAACGGCATGCCATTGATCTTATTCTTATATTTTCAAATCTGTCTTCTTTTCACAGTGCAGAAAGAACAGCTTAGCAAACACTTAGATTCAGGGTTCTGTTAACCTTTGAGCCCAAGGCTAGTGGTTTGATGATTTCAAGGAACTGTCTCTCTTTGGGAGCTGTCAACATATAAAGCATGTTTGTTGAACCCGGCAGAATCATATGTGAAATTCATGTGTACTCGGGACAGCGGAGTGTGCTTGCTTTTAGTGAGATTTCTAATGAGTGAATGAAGTTGAGAACAATTGCTCAAAGTGCCCCAGTGCTTTCGGAACATTTCCATCGGGAATGAAATACAGGACTCAGCGGATCCTGTAAGAGCCACGTGCATTTCCAAGAAGGAGAAAGGTGTTCTTGCCCGAGAAAGCCCTGGCTAATGTATCTTCCATCTGGAAACTCTTGCAGACCTGCTTGGGACATGCCAAGTTCACTTGTATTCAGCTCTATTCTGAGAAGAACGTGCTGACTTTGCAGGGAACAGGGACACCCACAATGTGTGGGGCAAAATCTCCATGAAAATCTTCCCAAAGCATCGGTGATAGTGAGATAAGATTTAATGACCAAAATATTAGTGGCCATTAAAATTCAAGAAGTGTTTGCAAGTTAGTTATAAATTCAACAAGTCTTTGTCTCGGGGCTGCTGGGGAGCCCACATGGTATTCTCAGATGCTGAGGGCCCAGGGCTTTGAAAGCTCAGAAAGGCAATGACATGGGGGCCGGTGACGAGCAGGCGTTTGGGGCAGGACGGGAAGTAGAGACTGTTCCAGGAGGAGGACAGTGCACGGTGTAGGTCCCAGATATGACGGGGCGGGGCAGGCCTAGTCGGATCAGAAAGCGATTAAATACCGTGCTTCGGTGAGGAGGGGTGGCTGGTGTACAAGGCCTGTATCCATGCCGTGTCGTCTGGAATAGAACTGGTAGCAAACGGGTCATCCATAATAGGTTCTAAGCTGACAAGGGAGTCTGGGTTTTAGAAGCTCACGGATCCCTGATTTTGAGGCACAAGTAAGACGAAAAGAGCTAAGGAGGCAGCTGCCTCCCCCAGGAAAGAAGATGCCTCTGCCTTAACTGACCAACACAGGAAGGAAGAATTCCAGAGACTTCCACAGGAAAACCAATGCATTTGGTAACCGAAGGGACGAGGGAGAAAGGTGAAGGAGCGTCCAGCTCCTGGCACGGTGGCCGATCCCCTGCCAGCCTCACCTTGTTAGTGGCTGGAGCTGGGTCCAGATTGTCTATTGCACAGGCTCCAGCTCGGCTTCCTCTCACCTCAGCTTATGAGAATCGTCCTGGGGGAGCCATAGACCGGAGATGATTTTAGGTTTTGTGATGGGGCCTTTCATCCATGCTTTGGTGTCCCGGTCACTGTCCGCACGGGGGAGCAGAGTGCAGACCCCTGGGCTGGGACACAGGGTGGTGGAGGGACCAACAGCAGGATGCTGGCACTTGCCTCGTCAGAAGCGACCCAGAGAAGCCCCTTCTCCAAACTCCATGGTGTAGGGGAGGGAGCTGAAATAAGCAGCTTGTCCCTTCTGCTCTCAGAATCCCTGTAGCTTCTCTGGCCCCACTAGGCCCTCGAGAGGCAAGATTGACTTTTGGCCTGAAATTAGCCAGGTCATGGGGAGCTGAACAGGGTTGGCCTCGTGGAGAGTGTGGCGCCAGGGGCCCTTTGTAAAGCGTGCCCTTCCTTTGTGCCACATGGATTGAAAACACATCGCTGTGTACACATACACCAAATCCATTAGAACTTCCCTGCACACGATGTCAGATGTCTTTAAAGGTGAAATTCGTTTACAGGAAATGTCATTCTGATGAAGTGTGCTTTTTAAAATCATAGGAACAGTTGCCTTAAAATTAATGATGCATTGCAAATATCAGGGAGAAAAGACCCATCCAGTGTAAAGATGATTAAAATTCAGGTCAGAAGTCTGACTTAGTCAGGCTAAATTTTTTAATGAGATTTCAGAAAATTAATTGGGCGAATGCATTTTTATTCTTTTAACATATAATTCTATGCTCCTGTTTAAAGGCGGGAGGTGGGGGTTGTCCAATGGCTGAGGCTTTATTGTGGTTCAAATATTTTAAACTCAAATTAGCACGAGGTGGAGGGTGTTTGCGGCCTAACTTGATCTGACTGGGAGAAAGGAGCTGGGTTTCTCTGAGCTTCCTGGGGTGAGTGTCCTGGGATGGTCCAAGACGTCCCCCACGCCTTGGCGTGGAAAAGCTGGCAACACTTCCTGGGAGGGTGGGCTTGGGGAGAAAGGCGCCCGACCTTGACTGTCTCCTTGGCCAGGCTTCCTCTGTTGTCCACGGAGTCGTTCTTTGAGCGTCCTCCCTCCTGTCTGAGACACAGTCCTCCCTGGGGCCCACATAGCTCAGCGTCCCTGCTGCCTCCACCTGTCCCTCCACCCATCTCCTCCACCTTCAGGGAGAGCCAAGGGGCCCCACAGCCTGGGAAGGAAAGTGTCCAGTGGTTTATCCCTGTGTCCAGGCCATGGCTCAGCCCTGGAAAGGGAGGCCAGTTGCGCCCGTGGTCTGGCGCGAGCCCCTGGCAACACCCCGGACGACCGTGCAAGGGACGGTGAAGTCAGGAGGGGCTGTCAGCCCACGGCTTCTCCGCGGCTGGGTGACCGTGACGTGGGGGAAGTGGCCCCATGTTGAAGAGCGCCGTGGCCGAGGCAGCGGGAGGGTGTGAGCACGCAGCACGGCACCTGACATCGTCCATGCTGAGAAGATGGCGTGTCACTGGATAATTGTTTTTTTTTTTATTTTAGTTTTCATTTTAGTTTTCACAGAGTTGGAAATAACCCCAGTGCCGACCCGCGCTGGGGCGGGGCTGCTGAGGATGTTGGTGATGACAGCCAGGAACTCTCAGCTGCTTCCCTGGGCCGGCCCCTCGCCTGGCTGGTGTACACGTCCTGCCTCGGCCCATCCCAGCCTCAAGGGAGTAGGTCACCCCGGTGCCCCCCATCGCACCCTGGGATTTTAACCCGAGCCTCTGAGGCCCAGTGTCCGAGTCTCAACTAGCAGCCAGAGCTGCAGCCCACTCTGCCCGGGGGCTATGTTCATGCTCCCCTCCCCCAGGGGGCAGGTCATTAGCTAACAATGATTATTCTGGAACCCCCGTCATGTCATGCACTGTTCTGGGCCTGCCCAGACCCATCAGGACCCTTTCCCCAGAATCATCTCCTGGAATCCTCAGAGAAATGCGGGCCAGGGTTACTGTCCCCCCATCGTGGATGGCCTCACTGGGTGGCAGGAAGGGGTGGTGAGTGGAAGGCCACAGAGAAGCACTTGAGAGAGACCCCCCTCTGGGGGCGAGAGCTCAGTTCACCTTTTCCTTTTCCGCGCGGAGGCCCTGTTGATAAATTGAGGTCTGGGCTCTGCTGGCTCAGGGACTGTGCCTAGGAGCCCTGGGGTGCCCCCCTCTGAGCAGAGGTTACCCTGGGGACGAGGCCACATCCCAACCCCTGCCCAGGCAGTGGCGGCCCTGGAGCCTGCGGGGACTGCGCCCCTGTAACCCCTGCCTCCCCAGAGCACCCCCCTCTAATTAGGTGGAAGGGGTTGTGGTAGGAAATGCAAATCTGGGCCTTCCCTTATCCAGCTGGATGGCACCCCCTGCAGTTCCTGGGGCTGAGGGGGCAGGGGCCGGCCTGTGGGGAGTGGAGCGCTGCAGCCAATGCCCCTTCCCTCCCATGTGGTGAGCAGCAGCAGCCCAACGTCCCCAGAGCGGGACCCTCAGAGATCACGTCCTCCAAACCTTGCACTGGGCCAGGGGGAAACTGAGGCCCAGAGAGCGGAGGGACCTGCCCTGTTCCAAGGAGCAGCACAGCTGCTGAGATCAGCAGGAGGGCAAGTCCCACCTCCCTCTGACGAGCTGTGTGGCCCTGCCTCAGTTTCCTTACTTACAAAATGGTGTTAATAATATTGGTGCTTTGGTGTGTGTGGGGGGGGTGTGGTGTGGAAACACACACCGGAAGAGGTGAAAACTCTACCCTGTTATAAACCAACGGAACCTCAATAAAAATAATCCAGTTTTCACAAAGAGAAATTCATCTTCCAGGTGCTCAACTCAGTATCGACAATAAGTAACAAAAACGTCATGTAGAGGAAAAAATTAAAATTAAATGAATATGGAAAATGAAAGTGGCATTAACCTTGCTGTGCAAGTAAGTCACGGGACCCTTCCAAGCGAGGGCCAATGCTGGCGCACAGTAGGTGGCTGTCCCTGCCTCCCCTGCGTCTTTCAAAAACACGCCCCGCACTGGCCCTGGGCAGCCAGACCCTCAGCACCAGGACACAGGGGTGCAGCACGGGCCTCACCTGGAGCTGCCGCTGGGCAGGACAGGGCTCAGCGGGCTGACGGATGCGGGGCTGAAGCAAGGAGCTCGGCCAGCCACAGGGTCCTGGGGGAAAAGTCCAGGAGGATTCTGAGTTGGGAGGCTTCACACTACACACAGGATGGCTCTGGAGCCCCTGTCCTGAGTTCAAATCCCAGCTTTGCCATTACTGGGGTCACGGCCTCAGTTTCCACAAATGGGCATAGCAGTGATGTCTATTCACTCATGGGGTGAAGCATGCAGTAGGTGCCCAATAAACGCTCGCTCTTCTTAGGTGGGTAGGTAGACTGGTGTTACTGAGATCTGACCTGGTCCTGGCGGCCTCACCTGGAGGCTTAGTCGTGGGCCCAGTGCCGGTGCCGGAGAGTCATCATGAGGCTCGGCATACAGTCATCCAGCGCACAGACTCAGAGTGTCAGGCCACGGCTTTGTTTTTTGGTTTTTGTTTTTAAGACTTATTTTTATTTATTTATGCATAAAAGAGCTGGGGTACAGGCCAGAGGTACAGGGGAGTGACAGGATTCACCAGAGACAGAGTGGGGAACAGAACAGGCAGATCGACTGAAATACACTGCTCAGGGGAGCAGCGGGGAGTCAGGAGAGGTCTGCTGCGCCATGTGGGTAGCTCCCTGGCCGGGAATTGAACTCATGCTGCAGTGGCTGGCGATAGCTTGATAGCACTGAGACTGCAACCCCTGCGCCACCAGGGAGGCTCCCCTACAGGTATTTTTACACCATCCCAGGAGAGGAAGCTGCCACTTACCATGGTGACTTACAGGGTTTGGCTGGGGGGCAGGGGGTCCACATGTGGGGTCACAGGACAAGTGAGAGAACAGTGCAGGGGGTGAGGGTGCTGGGGGGCAGCAGCCTCCTCGGTGCCTCCTCTGCAGAGGGAAGTCGTCTGGCTTGTGCAAGGGAGGGGTTTGGAGACCCCCAGGGGGCCTTGGAGGCTCTGAGAGTGGGGCTGGCCAGCAGAGTCTCTCGTTCATCCTCAGGGGTGCTGCTGGGGTTCCAGAAGGTGTTGGGGTCCCAACCCTCCACTCCAGCCTGACACCCTGACACCCTCTGTCGCTTCCCTCCAGAGGCACCCGAACACCCTGTCTTTTCGCTGCTCGCTGGCTGACTTCCAGATTGAGAAGAAGATAGGCCGAGGGCAGTTCAGCGAGGTGTACAAGGCCACCTGCCTGCTGGACAGGAAGACGGTGGCGCTGAAGAAGGTGCAGGTGAGCCAGGGGACCAGAGGGGCTAAGCTGCATCCCTGCAGCCAGCTTCTCCCCCAAACCCTGTGCTTCTGGGCCCTCCCCTCCCCTCCGTCTGTAGGGAGGGGAGCTAGCACCTGACTGAGCTACAGGGAGAATCAGGCGGGCTATGAAAACTCTGCGAATTATAAAGGGAATGGAAAATGAGCATGCACTGAGCACCTGCTGTATACCAGCTCCTGGCAGCAGCCTATGGGGAGGGATTGTCATCCCGTCTTTCACGTGGAAAAAGGGTGCAGTCGGAGCAACTGGCCAGGGTCACAGCTGAGACTCGACCCCCGTCCTGACGACCCTGGTACCCACCTCACTGGTTGGGCCTTCCCAACCTCTGTGTCCCTCCTCAGCGGGGCAGGGAGGCCAAGCAGATGGGTTTCAGAGCAGCCGTGGCCAGCCAGGAAGCAATTCAGGCAGCGCCCCCGAGCCACTTTGCTGCAGGAAATGGCTCTAAGCCTGCCAGCAGCTTCCCGTGGCCCTCGCCCCGCTCTTTTGTCCTTAAAGAGTGAGATGAACAGCCTGGGCAGAGGAGGCCCCATGGAGAAGGCAGCTCAGGTGCCCGGGCAGGGGAGAGGGTGGGAGAGAGTGGAGAGCAGCGGGTGCTGGAGGAGAGCCCCGTCTGTGCTCTCCGCATGCAGAGGGGCTCACCGGGCTTTGTCTTTTTTTTTCGGGGTGGGGGGGTGTGCGTGCGTGCGCCATGATGGCTTTTGGGGGGTAGAGGTGACCTTCTCTTACGTCCTGTGAGTTGGAAGGTGCCAGGAGCACCACCCCCCTGAGCAGCCGAGGGCCTGGGCGGGAGGGACCTGGGCTCGGGACCCCACTTTCTTGCTCTGTCCACACCTGTGCGGTCAGGCTGTTGGCCCCACTTGGCGGGGTGAAGACTGCAGTGCCCAGCCTGCCGCGTGCCCCCGAGCGCCTCACAAGCACCACGCTTTTCTGGGCCGCAGTCTCCCCGTAAGTCGGTGACATTAACTGCTGCCCCGGGGAGCCCGCAGAGCAGCCAGTCTGGCGCCTGCCAGGTGGGGCTCCGGTGGGCGGAACCATTGCCCTGACTGGGCCTGAGGAGTCGCCAGGAGAGCCAGGCCCCATCCTGGCGGTTCCGTGGGGAGCTGGGGGACAGTTTTAATCCCCACTTCTCTCTTTCCTCTCGCCCAAGATATTCGAGATGATGGACGCCAAGGCCAGGCAGGACTGCATCAAGGAGATCGGCCTCCTGAAGGTGAGCATCCTGCCCCCAGGCCAGGCCACACCCCGGCTGTCCCAGCTCAGAGCCCGTGAGGTTTGGGGTGATGCCCCGCTTGTTGGGGTGCAACAAGCGACTTCATTTTCTTGTGGCCACGCAGCCCTCAGGGTCCCCGAACTGTTGTGCTTGCCCCACATGGACCCGCCTGAGATGGCGGCGCCCAGCTCGGAAGTCCTCGCCCCGCAGGCACCCAGGCGCGGCCAGCAGCGGCCTGCCCGGGCCTTGGCTGGGCGGGAGCGGGCTGGGCCTTGGGCGGGGCCGCCGTCTCTGCTCCCCCCACCCTGCCCCTCCTCTCGCCGTCTTTTCTCTCCGTCTTTCTTTAAATTTCCAAGTGGCCTTTTAATATTCAGCCCCGGCGTGCTTTGCTTTGCTTTGCTTTGCTCCCCCATCTTGTTGCTGCCGCCAGGAGGCGCTAGCTGCCGGGGAGCTCGGGGTGCTGCCGAGACCAGCCATGCAGCCTCCGGGGTGTGGAGGCCCCCAGGGAGCCTGGGCTGTCATCTCTTGGGCTCTTCCCCACGAGGAAGGCAGGACGCACAGCCAGGGACGGTCCCTCTGCGGACAGGAGTCCTGGCTCAGCAGCGCGGGGCCGACTGCGCTGGGCGGTGGCAAGGACAGACGCGCCAGGCAGGGCGGCCCCGGGGGTGGGCTGGTGCCACAGGCTTCCGCGCTGGACTCCTGGAGTCAGAGACAACAGAACTTCCCGGACTATCTCTGAGCCTGCCCCAGGCAGCTTGGTCCTGGGGCTCTCTCCCTGCGCCCCAGACTTGACACTCTGACAGGAGGAGGAAAGTACAAGCACCGGGGTCCTGGGGGCTTGGCTTCACGCCATGTCACCCAAGCAAGCAACTTGGCCCCAGCCTCAGTCGGCCCGTCTGCTCAGTGGGAAGCTCTCCTGTCTCACAGGGTGTGGGTAGATCGAGAGAATTAAATATAGTGTCTGAAGAGGGTCTGTTCTCTCGGGGCATCCTCCGGCCCATGAGAGAGAACTTGCTCAGCGGTTTCATGAAGTGGGGCTGCTGGTAGCAGTGGCGCCCCCTGAAGCCCAGCTAGGCAATGTCAGCTTAGTGGTTGGTTCTTCAGGGCCCTGCCTGGGCTCTCAGTAGTGGGGAACTCCTAGTAGTGGGGGGACAGGCAGGCAGCAGATGGGCAAGCTGGACCTGCTGGGGAGAGGCATTCCGTGCCTCGCCCCGGTCCTGGTGCTGCCAAGGGCCTCGAATATGGGCTTCAACTGCGGACACACCCCTTCTAACTGGCCCTGTGGCCATGGGCAAGCCGTTGACTGCTGGGGCCTCATTTTCCTTGCTGTGAAAGGGGATAATGGCAACTGTGCTGTCTGCAGGGGGCTGGGGTCAGAAGATGCTCTGGAAGGATGCCGGGTGGCGCTTGGGGTGTGGAAATGTGGAAATGCCCCTGAGAGGCAGCCTAGTCTCCCCACTTAGAGCCTTGCCGGCAATGCCAACCCCTTTCCAGAAGGCCAGCCAGCCTCCCCGCCTGCCATGGGAAGTCACCAGGATGGGCCAGGGCACGAGGTGTTTCCTACAAAACAAAGGGAAAGATGGTTCCCAGAGGGGCCACAAGGCAGACCCGAAACCCAGAACCTCCCAGGGCAGAGGCTGGCGGACGACACCAGGAGACGGGCAGGGAGAGTCACAGACTTACACGTTCAGCCCCTTTTGAGCACCTGAGTCTCAGCTCTGCACGGCCAAGAGAAATAGCCCGTCTCCCAAGCATCACACCCAGTTGGCAGGTGCAAGATGGCTGCCCCACGTTGCCAGGCCGCTGGCTGCCAAGTGCAGGCCTTTTCCCAGGCACCCACCTCTCAGCAGCAGCCAGCGCCCATTCAGGCCGCCAGCGGGTGCCAGCCTGGGCAGGTGCCGAGGCCGGCCTTCTCTCATCGGTTCTGCTCTCCCTCTTTCTGGGCAGCAACTGAACCATCCAAACATCATCAAGTATTTGGACTCGTTCATCGAGGACAACGAGCTCAACATCGTGCTGGAGCTGGCTGATGCGGGCGACCTCTCGCAGATGATCAAGGTGAGGCTCCCGGCGGGGCAGGATCAGAGGCCACCAGGGTCAGGCAGCCCTCCCGACCCCGCCTTCAGGCTCAGCCGCGGCCCAGGAGGGGCCCTGCCTGCCCTGTCCCCCCACACATTGCCAGAGTAGCTTTTTCTTCCTATTAGCCTCAGGGAAGCTCATCTCGAGCGTCCTGGAGAGCACAAAGCAAGACGAAGGTGATGCCTGGACAGGCCCAGAGGCTGGGAGGGGTCAGCTGTGGGCAGAAAGGGCCCCGTACCCAGCCCCTCCACACAGCCTGCCCGCGGGTCCTTGTGTCACTGCTCCTGCCTCACTAAGGAGGGGGTAGAAGCCCATGTCGGGCAGATGCAGCTCATGGAATCTGGGAAAGCATCTGTGGGTCCCACGGCCTCTTTTTACAGAAAGAAAACAGCCAGGTTAAGAGATTTGCCTGAGGATACCCAGCATGGGGGTACAGAGCCGTGCCTGAGGCCCAGGTCTCTTTCCTGGTCTGTGACATCCGCAAAACGATGAACACACGCTAAGTCCTACGCTGCAGGCCCAGCGCCCCGTCTGGCTCTGCACCCCGCAACTGTCTGCTCCCCTCAACTCAACTCCTGGGGCCCAGAACCAGCCGCACTATGGGTCTGGACTCAGGGACCCCGCAGCTTCCCCAATGGAGCACTTAGTGTGGCCACAGCCCTGCTGAGCCCACGTGCCGTTCCCGCATCCGCAGTGTCCTCACATAGGAAGGCTCAGCCCGGTTTATTCACCTGCCTGAGGCAGCACAGCCTCCAAATGGGATTCCAAGGCCACCCCGCTCCCTGCTCCCCCCCTCGAGACCCTCCCCCCTACTGGCTTGAAATTCTGCAGGCCACTGCTGGGCACCCAGTGTGTCTGCTCCCGGGGCTTCACCCTGCTCCCAGGCACTCTTGCAGATGGAACCAGACACAGATTCTGTGTTTCCCTCCAGGCACCAGGGACTGAGCAATTGCTCGTGCTTGCTCTTCTGAAATTTGGCTCCTAGGAATACGGGCATCGCTGGGAAGCCGCATTACTTGAGCTGTTATCATCTGCTTTTATTTTTTTGTTGACATATTAATGTGTTTTCAGGGATGTTAATTTCCACACAGATCCCTGGTGGGAACAGATGTGCTATATCATGTCTCAGTTCTGCCTGCCCCCCTACTTTGTTTCTCCTTCATGTTTCTTTCTCTCTCCCTAACACACATGCATCCAGCACCCACTGTGTGCCAACCTTCTGTACCCAGACCTCTGCTGGTGGCACCTAGGGGTGCCGCCAGCAGAGGTCCTGCCCTCCGGGAGCTTGCCATAAACTGGAGCAAGCTTCTCCTCCAAAGAAGGCTTCCTGGAGGAGGTGACACCTGAGCTGAGACCTGAGGGGGTATGGACAGGACAGCTAATGCAGGAGCTTAGGAGGTTGAGAAACCCAGGGGTGCACAAAGTGTTTGGTCCAAATGACACTGTGTAAGGTTTAGGGGGAGCCCTGGCAGGCAGGGCCTCCTGTCCCAGCTTAGGGCTGGATTTTGTCCCAAGGTCAGTGAGAGGCTCTCTAAGGCTTAAGGCAGAGAGTGAGCCTTGTGTTCTAAAAGAAAGACCGGATACAAGGCATGGTACCACTCCTCCTGGAGTCTCCTTACCCCTCGCCCCTCCCTCCTGCTGCAGGGCCTCATGGGATGCTGCCCCTGCAGGTGGGAGAGGCAGGCAGGAACAGACCCTCAGCCCGGAGTCAGACACACCAGTTGCATGACCTCGGGCAGGGGTCAGTGTCCCTGTCCCTAATGCCCCTTCACAGTCCCTGGGCTTGGTAGGACCCCGGTTTCCTGTCTCTCTCACTCTCTAGCCACCTCTGGGATTTTAGGGGAGCAGAGACCTCTCTAGGGTCTCACCCCAGGGCAGCACCGTTGTCACCCCAGCAGGCCGGCCTGGGGCCATGGCCCCACAGCCCACAGCCTCGGGGCTAAGCAGACTGGGTGCCGGCATTATTGATGATAACAATGGTGAAACCAGGAGCCCCTGCAGCCCGAAACCCACCAGAGACTCTGCACCTCCCGCTAAATGTCACGGAGCGTTTATAGGACGTGACATTTAGGAAATCACCACTCACAGCCGTGCGTCCCGCTTAAATGCTGCAATGAGGATTAACTAACATCGCAGCATAAATAACACTCCTGCCCGGCCCACCCTGAGGCTGGGGTGACCGGGGGTCCTGAGTTAGGGGGTCTGCGCTGAGAGCCCAAGGCAGCTCACCCGAGGGGCCCCTTTGCCAGCGTGGAAGCTCCGAAGAGCCTCACAGGGCACTGGTGCCAGGCCAGGGGTGTCCCGCGGCCACAGCCCTGTGAGCTGGAGGTGCCGGGACCAGTGCCCGCTGTGCCTGTCTAGCTGGGTGACCTGAGCTCAGTCCCGCGCCTGGTGGTTACCAGCGTCGTTAGCTAAGAGCTTGGGCTGGCTGCGGCTTCCCTGCCACCCCCTCCCTGCGGCCTGGGCGGGTTGTTCTTTTTGTTTTTTTCCGGAGCATTAAATACGGTTTTTCAGGCCAGGAAGCAGATTCATGCCTGTTGAAACCCAGGGTGGGGTCTACTTGAGAATGGCAAGCACTTGTCCTTGGGATCTCCTGCGCCTGTTGACGGTCACACGGGCTGAGACTGCCCTCTCCGGGACTGGGGGCAGCGGTGATTTTACCACCCAGCGTGTCTAGGGTGCCCCCCTGCTGGGCCAAGCCAGGCCTGGAGGCAGAGAGAGGTCACGCCAGTCCACTCCAGCAAGGGGCTCCCTGTTGGAGCAGGAGGAGGTAGATCTGAGCCCAGAAGATTCCAGAAAAAAGTGTGATTGAGAGCAGCCTTCTGAATGCACTCCAGGCATCATTCAGCAAACCCCTCCAGACACCCACTTGGGGTCCACCCCCGGAAGCTCACAGCTGGGGGGAGGGGGGAGCAGGTGACCAAGTGGAGGGGGGACAGGTGACCTCGCAGGACAGCGGGACTGAAGCAGAGGGGTGACAGCCCTCCACAGCCCGTCGTCCAGACCTGTCCCTCTCTCTCCCCTGCCCCAGTACTTCAAGAAGCAGAAGCGGCTGATCCCCGAGAGGACGGTGTGGAAGTACTTCGTGCAGCTGTGCAGCGCCGTGGAGCACATGCACTCCCGCCGGGTGATGCACCGAGGTACAGCCCCGAGGACTGGGGGTGCCCCGGGCCCCTGCAAGCAGCCTTCCCTCGCTGCTCCCCAAGTTTGGCTACTCTGTTCCTGGAACAGGTGGCTGTCGAGTGTCTTCCCGTCCTTAGCGGGGCCTTTAGCACACACCCCATCTGACCACTGAGGACAGGCCAGATGGCACCACACCCACTGTCACGCCCCACACCATCCCCCTACAGCCTCTCTCTCCCCCGCAGACATCAAGCCTGCCAACGTGTTCATCACAGCCACGGGTGTCGTGAAGCTCGGGGACCTCGGCCTGGGCCGCTTCTTCAGCTCTGAGACCACCGCGGCCCACTCCCTAGGTAAGGGGGGCCTGCCCACACCCCAGCAGCCCCCGGCGGTCCTGGTGGACTCCATGGGAAGATGGGAAGCCTCTCCCGCAGCCCCTGGGTTGGCTAGTGCAGAAACATGTCTTTGGGCCCTCAGCATCCCCCCACCTCTTTAGAACAGTGACCCAGAGGGGAGCCCCAGTTGGGGCTCCCCTGACTCTCATACCATCTCACACTCTTCCAGGAGAGGGTGACTGAGTGCACCTGTGGAGTGCGGGTGCGTCTGCGCACACGCAGTGGTCCCCTCTTCTCCCTGCTGAGTCTTGCCCCGTCCAGTGCAGCCCACTCGGTCCGGTCCGGGGGGGGAAGGGTTCCTATTGGAGCTGCTTCCAGAATTTGCTTTTAAACAGGCAGTTTTTTGGTTTTTGGTTTGTTTTTTTTTTTTAAGATTTTTTTTTTATACAAGAACTGGGGTTCAGGCCAGATGCGCGGGAGCGTGAGGGGATTCACCAGAGACAGAGCGGGGAGCAGAACAGGCAGACAGACCGAAGGCACTGCTGAGGGGAGCAGCGGGCAAGACGGGAGAGCTCTGCTGCGCCATGTGGGAATCTCCCTGGCCGGCCGGGAATCAAACCCGCGCTGCAGAGGCTGCGGACAGCTTCACAGCGCTGCGCTCAACCCGCTGCGCCACCGGGGAGGCCCTAAACAGGCAGTTTTGAAGCTGTGGGGCTGTGTGCTCCCCAGCTAGGAAGTAACACCAGCCAGACTGTTGGAGCTCGTAGGAGCTGGTGGGACAGGGTGGGAGAAGGCCCTGGAGCTGGCAGGGGGGCCTGGAGCTCCACCTCAGTGGGGGACACCGCCGTTGGCTGCTGCAAGGCAAGATGGGGAGATGTGTGCTTTGGGTTACATAAAGCAATGGCGAGCTTCACAATTTGTGAGCCGGGGACGTCTCTGAATGTGAAACTTGGAGCGATGGACGATGACTTAGAATATAGACACCCCACGGCAGGAGGGTCCCTTAACCTGGACTGTGTAAAACTCTCCACAGAGTGGGCAGAGTGTCTGCTGCTCCTGGAGCCTGTTCCTGGCTCTTGGAGGTGGTGTCTGCAGGGGAAGGTGTTCTAGGCCACAAATAGGAGCTGTGGGGCTGGGTGGGTTAGTCCCCTGAACACCACTGTGCCCCCCACTTGTCTCCACCCCAGTCCCAGCCCCAGCCCGGGTCTCCTGTCTTCCACCCCCAGTGCCTGGCATCTTCTGGGGATGGTGAAGGGCTTTCTGGAAGATCCACTTTGCCCATGGAAACTGTCACTGTCGTACAAGTCCTGATGGCTCAGAGGTGCCCGTGTGTGTCAGCCCACAATTAGGAGAAATGCACCAACTCCAGGGAGTGACCGCCCCAGCTCTTGCAGGGCGTGAGTGCATGTGCCCACCTGTGCACGGGGTGGCTTGACATGCTGCCTGTCTGACCCTGCGGCACAGGTGCCAGGCCTCCTTGGGAGCTGGGCATTTCATGCCCCCTCTCTTAGCTCCAAAGGAAAGGGTGTGAAGGATTCACTGACCTGAGCGCATGACATTTTTTTTTAAAGTATTTTTTTTTAAGATTATTTATTTATACAAGCACTGGGTACAGTCAGAAGCGCGGGAGGGTGAGAGAATTCACCAGAGCCAAGGGGGGAGCAGAGCAGGCAGAAGGACCGAAGTACACTGCTGAGGGGAGCAGTGGGTGCGCCATGTGGGACCCTCGCCCAGCGGCCGGGGATCAAACCGGCGCTGCAGAGGCTGCGGGCAGCTTCGCAACCCAGCACACAACCGCTGCGCCACCGGGGAGGCCCTGAGCGTTTGACATTTTGTTCATGCCTCAAATAGTTCAAGGGTCAGCACGATCCTTACTGTTTGCAAACGAAGAATCCAAACTGCAGGGAGCTGGAAGGGTCTCCTGACCCTCCTCCCCACAGCCAGGGTCCTGGAAAGATGCCGCGTGACTCCCCCCGGGCCCCGGCCACCAGCTCCCCTTCCTGGGAGGAAACCTTGTCTCTCCCGGTCCCCTCAGAGAATCAGTGTCCGTTTGGGGCTGGTTTCCTCTCTGGCAGGAAATCCTAGGGAAACTGTCTGAGAGGAGAGTTGAAGGCACTGCCTCCTGCCCCCTGTCACTCCGGCCTCAGCCCTTCCCTGTCTCACTGCGGAAAAGGCTAACGCGTCAGAGCCGGTTAGGGTCACGTCGTGGGGGACGGGCAGAACCCGGGCTCATCTGACAGCGAGAGTTTCTCGGCTCGGGCTGCTGCACTTATTATATTAATGAGGAGCAACGGGAACTCGGGGCAAGGCCGCCTGCGTGAGCCCGGCTCTTCCGAGGCCTCTGAGCAGCCGGCCGGGCCACGTGATGGGTGGAAGGAGCGAGCCCCCCCCCCCGGGGCTGCCCGTGTCCCGAGAGGCCTGCACGGGGCCCCACACCCCGGACTGCGGCCAGGCTCCGGAAGTCTTAGACACAGCGAAGACCCCTTCTCGCAGAGAGCTCCTGCAAGCGGCTCGCCAGGTCCTGCACGCGAGGTCAGCTGCAGATGGAACTAATTGCCACCGCTTCACGACTCGGGAAGGGCCGCGCTCCCTCCCATGCTGTGCGTGGGCATGAATTAGGCATCCACTGCATCTACGCGCACCTACTACGTGGGGATGCAGCCGTGGCCCCCCTGTTGTCCCGGCAACCACCCAGTCTCCCAAAGGTGCCGACCCACAGCCGGGTTCGTGCAGATCCCCTCTGCTCCTGCCTCCTCCTCCCCCGGCGCCCTCCCCGCCTCTGTATTTGCTAACACGGGGCTGGCATGAAAGGGCATTAGTCATGCCATGGCCGGGCTGACAGGTGCGGTACCCAGCAGTGGCAGAGCGGCTGCCTCGGTGTCAGGAATAGGAGCCGTAATTAGAGCGCGGAACAGAATGAGCGTCAGACGAATTACCAGGCAGCAGATCATATTTGTCAGAAAGGATTGCATACATAAAAATTAAGTGACAGTACACGCCGGCGTAATGAAAGAAAAATGAAAGATTTGCCTATACACAGCTCACAAGCTACAAGCAAGTGTCTCGCTCCGAGCAACGGCAGCAGCTGCAAGACAGATCGCGGGGCCGGGAGAGCAGGCCCTGCTCCCTGACAGGGCTGGGCGGGGTGGGCGGGCGGGGCGCCCGGGGAGGGGCCGGGCCGGATGCACAGCACAGCGCAGAGGGGTCCCGGGGCCGCCTCCCGCCTGGCCCCCACCCACCCCGATCCCAGCAGGCCAGGACACTGGAAAGGTTGGCCCAGAAATCTTGCTTTAGCAGGTAGAGCCAAGGCTCCAGCACTGCCCCTGGGTGGGAGGGGTGGAAGGGCACATGCGGCCTGTTCCTCACTCACCAGCCGTGTGTTGGCACTTTCAGGCGCCCGGACTGTCAGGATGAGGCGGGTGGACACCAGAGAGGGAGGGGCGTGTCTCCAGAGGACGGCAAATGAGGAATGGAGGCTGGTCCAGGATGCAAACTGCAGCCCCTGGGCTGTTCATTCATTCAAGAAGGATCTGTGCCTCCCCCACCCCGAACTAACAGCGGGGGCTGGGGGGTCTTCACAGAGACCTCGGCTCTGTCCTGATCGCACCCCAGGGGTGACCAGCCCCCCGGGTGGGAATGGTCAGAGCGGGTTTGGGGAGCTGGAAGCCCAGGTGCGGTGAGGTGGGCGCCTTTTGAAGCCAGGCGGGGCGCTGCGGCCAGAGCTGCGTGCTGGCACGGGGCAGGCAGGGGCGGGCCTCCAGCCACCTGAGCCACTTAGATGGGGGCCGCGTGTACCCGCAGACTTGCACCACCTGCCTTCATCTCTGAGACTCCGCGTGGGAGCTAGAGAAAGACATTCGAAGGGACGTAATCTGAAATGAAGTCAGTGCTGGAAAAGCGCAGTGTTTTCGGCTTCTCCTGGGGGCTGCGCGTCGCGGGCTCAGCTGATCGTTTATTAGCAGAGGTGACCCTGGAGGGGTTTGTGTTGCTGCCCAAAGCGGGTGTGCCGAGCCGTGGGCCCAGCTTGTCTCCCGTAGGGAGAGAAGCACTGGGCGCGGGGGACAGGCCCCCTCCCCTGGGGTGGAGGACGGTGGGGAACGGGCAGGGCTGTGAGGGGCTAGGCCAGCCCCTTCCGGGTGGCTGAGGTGGGGCCCCCAGGGCAGCAGCCTGGGAGGCAGGGGGAGAGGAGAACCTTCAGGCTGTGGGGCCTGATTGGATGTTGGGGCAGGAAGGGACTTTCACGGGGCTCCCCAGTGAGGTGAAAATGAAGCCGGGCTCGGGACTGGTCTCACAGCCGTTTACGCCGCGCCCTGCCCTCCTCACCACACTCAGCCTTCCCTCCCCACCACCCTCTGCTCCAGAGTTCCTGGCAGGGGACCCCCCCAGACCCTTCCCTCCCCCACGTCCGCGTGCCCAGGTAGTGCCTGCCTCAGTTTCCAGGGAGGGGCACAACCTCCAAAGGACAGGGGAGGACCTCGGAGACTGAGTTCAACCCCTCGGGGACTGAGCTTCACCAATGGGGAAACTGAGGCTGGGGAATCGAGGCAGCAAGGGGACTATAGCTCTCAGCTGGTGAGTGGCTGGGCCAGGTTCAGACCTACTGGGTGCAGCTCCAAGTCCGTCCAGGCCTGGCCTGTGCCAGGCGGAGCCACCCACCCCCAAGTCCCCTCTGCTGGATGCTGTCTTCAAGGGGCCCCGTGTCTCCAGCTGTTTGCCAAATCACGGGGGAGGAAGCCCTGCTCCAGCCGCCAGCCTCTCCCCGGCGTGAAGCCTCTGCCGTTCTTACAGCTAATGAACATGTTTCAAACACTGCGGACGTTTCAAAACACCGCCAAGTTTGTGTTGACAGGAGTGGGGCGTGCTGGGAAGCGGGCCCCTTTAATCAGCCACCAGCTTTGAGGTCCGTGTCCTCCTCTGATACCTGGGCGTCTGAAATCCGGGCGTTCCAGGTAAAGATGCGGAGGGCTGGGTTCGGCAGGCGGCTTTCCTCCTCCACGGCTCCAGCCCCGGCTGCGAGGAGGGGCCGTGGGCGCAGGGCTCCGGGAGGCCGCAGGGGAGAGGGCTGGAGGGGGCTGCGGCCCGGCTGCCTGGCCCTGCCGCCTGGCCCTGCCAGGGCACATCCCCTGAGCACAGCGGGAGGGGTGGGGACCTGCAGCCGCCTCTAGAAGTGCTCAGGGGTCTCCCTGGGGCAGGCCATGCCCTCCCGCACCCACCTCACGATAGCTCCTCCCACCCTTCCCGGCATCGCTGCTCCCGCGGGTTTTCTGGAAGCCGCCTCCAGGGCCGCTGCAAGCTTGGCCGTCTTTGAAGTCTCTTGCTTTACCTTTAAAACTTATGCAAGTTGTGCCTTGTGCTTTAGAAATGTTTGCGCATTTGTTGTTAAAGCAGCTTTTAAAACCAGGTTTTAAGGACTTATTCCTGGGGAAAGCTGGCAAAGCAGTTCGAAGCCTGTGTTCAGCCCCTGCGGCTTTACACGCCCCTGGCACACTTGAGAGCCCCCCAAGAGGCCTGGAGAGTCCGCCTGGAGGCAAGGACAGGGCCCGCCAGGGAGCAACGGTTTTCATGCCGCATGAATTCATTTGCTCCGCAGATGTTTCTGGGCTTCTGAAAAATGAACAGGTGGGCAAGGCTTTGCACAGCTCCTCGCAGGCTGTGACAGCAAGATCTTCTGGGAGCTGTGAGAGGTGCAGGTGGCCAAGTCCTAGGCCTGGAGAGTCTGCACCCCCAGGCCTGGGGCTGGGCGGGGTCCAGATGGCTAACAAACTCCTCTAGGTGATTCAGGCTTTCTTTGATCAGAGAGCCCCTCGGGACTCTTCCTGGGACAGGCAGCTCCCCTGGTGGGAGGGCTCTCGCTCCTGGGAGGCTCAGCACAGCATCTGGGCTCAGTTCACACTGTAGAGATGGACAGAAGGACGGATGATGAATGACAGACAGACATGGATGGGTGGGACATGGAGGAATGAAGGATGGATGGAGGGATGGACGGACAGGCAGGTGGATGGATGTGTGGGTGGGTAACAGATGAGGGGGTGGCACATGCAGCGCTGGCATCTTAGCAGAAGTCTCACGTGCATTTGCCTTCTTCTTACATCGGTGGAACTGGTTCAAAGCAGAAAGGAGTAGAAGGCTGGGGTGGAGAGCAGAGGGGAAGGGGTGCACTCCCTAACCTTTCTCTCCACCTGTGCCCCAAGATATCACCACGAACAGGGCTGAATCAGGCACCTGGAGCCCCAGCAGAGGGAGGCACTCGTGACAGGGCAGAGGGACCAGGGGAGCCTCCGGCCTCATGGAGCAGCTCACTCTCCCCGGCCAGGAGGGGCAGCTCAAGCTGGACCTTGCAGGAGCTGCGAGCAGCTGGGCCGCAGCCAGTGCTGCGACGGCACAGAGGCTGACGGAAGAGCAGGCTGGGGTGGCCAATTGGGAGAGGGAGGGGCACCCACCAAAAAGCCTCCACCCTCCTGCAGCCCTGCGCCAAAGCCCGGCCTCTCTGCGAGTCGCGCCCCCACGCCCCCTCCTATAGACACCCCGGTGGAGCTGAAATGAGCAAAGGCACTATGGAGGGAGGCAGGAGGTCGGCCAGGGCGGCCCCACCCCAGGACGAGGGCATCAACCAGGGGCCCCAGGTGTGTGCGTCCGGTTGAGAGCTCTGCCGGCCCCCGCTGGAGACGGGCCTCGTCCTCCCTCCCTGACGCCTGTGTGTACCCCATGGGCACCCCACCCAGGGCAGGGCAGGAGCCCAACGGCCCAGCCAGCACATCCGTCCACAGCTCGGCCGCTGGAGTTGCTCGCAGTCTGGCCTCAGGCCCACTGTGCCACGGATCCGCTTGGATCTCTCCCGTGGTTCGGACGTGGCTCCCTCCAGGCCAGTGCACCACGAGGCTGCGCTGGAGCCCGCCTGGGCTCCCAGTAGAATCCGCAGGACTCACTTGTTGACTGACAGCGCTTGCTGCTGAACAGCAATGAGCACCCCTTCCCATGTCAGCATAAAGCCTGCTGACAGGATGACGGGTTCTCAGAAACACATACTTAAGTGATGGCTGCTGTCCTTGTTTAGGGATTATGGCCACAAAGGGTGCTCGGTGTCCCGAGAGCTACCCCAGGGCTAGACACTCGAGCTAAGATGGAGCCTCTTGGGGAGCCAGCAGGGGGATAAACCGGGCGTCGGGCTGCAAGACAAAGGTGTCGGCACGGACCAGGGTGTGGGTTCAAGGAGCCGTGAGCCCCTGTTTAGAAGGACGCCCCGAGCGAGTGGTCCTCGCAGACAGGGATGTCGGCCCTGGCCCCTTGGCCGGAGCTCAGCGCCGAGAGGGGCTTCTCCCACCCGTCTCTGGTGGGCTGAGAAAACAAGACTATAAGGTTTGCAAACAGCTGTGCTTTTTTTTTTTTATATAGAGGCATGTTATTTATTTATTTATTTGTTTGTTTGCTTGCTTGTTTGTTTTTTGTTTATACAAGCACTGGGTACAGTCAGAAGCACGGGAGGGTGAGAGAATTCACCAGAGCCAGAGCGGGGAGCAGAGCAGGCAGAAGGACCGAAGTACACTGCTGAGGGGAGCAGCGGGCGGCAGGAGAGGTCTGCGCGCCATGCGGGACCCTCCTCCGGTGGCCGGGGAGCAGCCGGGGATCGAACCAGCGCCGCAGAGGCCGCGGGCAGCTTCGCAACCCAGCGCTCAACCGCTGCGCCACCGGGGCGGCCCAGCTGTGCTTTTTCAATGCAGAAAACTGTCTTTGATTTGTGAGGATGGGCTTCCTCCCTGGTCTGGCGTTAGACTGCCTTTGCTTTGGGGTTCGCTTTACTTGGGAAAATTAAGTTGCCCACCCCGTGTTTACCCCAAAGTATCTTCTGCCCATGGAATGTCGGGCCCCTGCTCTTTGAGCCCAGCTCACTAAGCCAGTTCTGAAGCGGTTCTGGTCCCAGGCGCCCACTTGTTTCTTTGGTGGGGGATGTCCCTCCCCAAGACCCCGAGCGCCCCTCAGGCACCGTCTCCTTTGACACCAGACTCCCCACACTCCGGTCGGAACTGCAGCCACCAGCACCCATGGGTGGCACCTCAAGCCATGGCTTTGCATGTTTGGGTCTCAGTTTCCCCATCTGTGAAATGGGGACTGCCAGGCACACGGGTGAGCTGGCACAGGCGACCTGCGTGGTGGGCGCTAGCGGTGGGCGTTTTCTTCTCACTGTTGAGAGCTGTATCGGGGATCTCCCAGCTGGGCAGGGTAGAGGCAGGAAGGGGCCCGGAGCAGGTTTTCTGATCCAGCAGACCAGGTACAGGAGGAGTCGGAGTCCTCAGTGGCTTTTGCAGGCCTCTTATCTAGATTTACCAGGCATATGGCAGGCAGGGGTGCTGGGGGGCCGGGAGGCTGGCAGACCTCCCAGCCCCCATCAAGTCTTCACTCTGTCTGGGCTCTCCGGCCTTCTCTCGTGTTGCTTCTCTGCTCTCCTGCTTCTCTGCTTCTGTTCATTCTCGGCTTCTGCTGGTGTCCCCGTGACGCCGCCCTCATAAACTCAGTCTCTCAGCCCAGGTGTATCCACTTCAGGTGCCCGCCATCGGGCATGCACTCAGGACCACAGGGTTCCCTCATCTGTCCTAATGGCAGGAGGGCAGAATAGCCTGATGCTTTTTCCTTACCCCACAGGCAGTCACTTTAACGAACATTCAGGCACCGCCTTCCCAGAGCCCCCAGGCAGTTGGCCCCCACCTGATTCTTAGGTCTGGGTGGGTCCCAGACCCGCCTTAACACCGGCCCCACCAGCACAGACACCTCCAGCTGGCCCAGCCCCTCGTTTGACAGACGAGGGACAGGTGCTGCTCAGGGGCTCTCCCCAGGCCCCACCCGACCCCGCCCGCAGGCCCAGGCCGCGCCCACAGCCTCAGCACCCACCCCTTGCTGTGTTTCAGTGGGGACGCCCTACTACATGTCTCCCGAGCGCATCCACGAGAACGGCTACAACTTCAAGTCGGACATCTGGTCTCTGGGCTGTCTGCTGTACGAGGTGAGCGTCCGCCCAGCTCAGCGGCATTTTCGGGGCGTGCGTGGCGGGCTCAGCTCTGGGGGGTGTCGGGGCAGGAAGGACCCCGGAGCAGGTTCTCTGATCCAGCAGACCGGGTAACGGAGGAGTCAGAGTCCTCAGTGGCTTGTGCAGGTCTTTTATTTAGATTTACCAGGCACATGGCAGGTGGGGGTCCTGGGGGGCCGGGAGGCTGGCAGGCCTCCCAGCCCCCAGCAAATCCTCACTCTGTCTGGGCTCTCTCTGGCCTTCTCTCGGCTTCTTTGCTCCTTTCTCGGCTTCTGCTGGCGTCCCCAGGACGCCGCCCTTAGAAGCCTAGTCCCAGCCCAGGTGAATCCCATTCCACAGGCCACACCCCACTCCGGGGCCGCCAGCAGGCATGCGTTCAGGACCGCGGGTTCCGTCTTCCATCCTGACGGCGGGAGGGCAGAAAGCCGGTCCTTTTCACCTTACCCTACAGGGGGAAACCCCGGGGGTCGTGGTGTCCGCCTGTGGCCTTGGTACATCAGGGCCCTGTCCTCCGCCCACTGTCAGCCTGCGGAACTGTCAAGGCCTGTGGGCCCCAGGGTAAGGCGAGCGGGACCGGGGGGCCCCCCAAAGTGCTCCATGCGGCAGAGGCTGACTCCTTCGGGACTGACCCCACAGACCTTGGGCATGAATTGAAGAAACAAGCTGCCCACGCCGGCCCACCCGGGGGCTGTGGCGGCTCTGTGGTCGGGGCCTTCCCTCCACCCTGCGTTCCGTACCAAGACTGAGCTCACAGCTGACGCTTGACAAGGCCTCAAGCTCACAGCCCCCCTCTCTCTGTGTCAGCGGCTTTTATCAGTCAGACATTGCATCGGAAAAGAGCGGCCTCTGGTTATAGACGAAGCCAGTGGAGCTGTGGCCCCTGGAGGCGTCTGCGCCCGAGACCCCTGTCTTCTGGAGGCCGGGGTGGGGGGCTTAGGTGTCGGCCCTGACAGTAGGTGGGTGCAGACCCAGATTCACAGGGGCATCTGTGGCCCTTGGAATGAGGACCAGGCGGGGGCAGCCAGGTGGAGGCGTTGCCCTGGGGGTGGGGGTGAGTGGGTGGGGGGTGCGGAGCATTCCCGGCCTTCACAGGCAGAGGAGGGCTGAGGGCTGAGCTGCGAATTCTCCCCCCACTGCTGTCTCTGCCGCCTGGCTGTGGGGGCCTCGGGCGTGGTTAGCAGGTCGGGGTGGGCCTGGGAAGGATGGGGTGCAGGAGGAGATGCGAGGGAGGGCAATTGTGTCGTTAGCAAGGGGAAAAAGCGATGCCCGTCAGCACCCTCCTCAGCGAGGACGAGGCAGCGCCCGCTTGTGATGACACCCCCACTGCTGTCTGGAAGGTGGGCCCACACCGCACAGGGCATGGGGCTGTTTTGTGTTTTGTTTTGCTGAGACTGCCCAGCACCAGACGGGCGACGTCCCAGCGGGGTCACTGGGTGGCGCAGAACCTCTGCCCAGCCCACGTTTGTGCCCCCAGACGAACCCTGATTTCAGGGTCTCTCCAGCCATCCCTCCCGGTCTGGTCACTTCTCCACGTGGACACAGTGGCCACCAGGGCTGCGGTGGCCTGTGACAGAGCCAAGTCCAGTTCGTGAGCTAACCTCCGGGGCTCCCACCTGAGGGGTTTCGGACCCTCCACTAAGTGGGCATCTCCCCCAAAGGGTCAGTGTGAAGGGGCGTTGCTACCGGGTCTCCCCAGACCAAGCGAATGCCCTAAGTGCGGCAGGCGGGCTCCAGCCACACGGGGGTGTGGGTGGGCGGGTGCCGCACACAAGCCGCGGCCCTTTGGGTGGGGAATGAAAGCTCCTGGTGTAGCCCAGACTTCCGTCAGAAGGACCTGAGTGTGAGGCCCAGCTCAGGGAGTAGCCGACCCTCCCCTGGGCGCCCAGTTGCCCAGAGTGTCAGATGAGGCACCCCCCGCCCTGTGCAAGCACCTGGCTTGGAGAGGCGCTCGACGTGGAGGGCGGCTGTTGTGTGATGCTCCCGCCCGCCATTCCGTTCTCCTCCCGCCGCTGACCCAGCTGTCCTGTGCCCCCGCCTCCGCCGTGAGGCTCCTGCAGCTGGCTGCTTTCCCTTTTTGCTTTGGCTGGTGGGAAGCTTCCATCCCGGTGGAGGACCCAGCTTGTTCTCTGCCTGCGTGACTGTTGTCCCTGCTCCAGATGGCTTGTCCCTTATTTTCCATGCTGCAGTGGGACTTCTGTAAGCCGATTCCTGCCGCTGTGAGCCCTGAGGGTCCCCAAACGTAAACAGGCACACAGGCCGACCAGGGCATGACGGGCAGGCGCCCCTCCCCAGGGCCTGGCCGGGAGGATGGCAGCTGGCTCCCTGTGCCGGTGCCAAGCTGCCGACGAGAGCCAGCCCTCCTCCTGCCCCAGCCTTTGTCTCGGCTCCTGGAGGCGACGCAGCCTGGATGGCCCGTGGCGCCCGCCTCGGTGGTTTCTGGGTCAGGCAGCCCCCTGAGTCCTGGTCTTGGGCCCCTAAACACATGACTGACGAGCGAGCAGTGGTGTTAGTGGCTCCCAGCATGGGGGCTCGGCTCGGCTGAGTTGGTTTATTTGCTGGCAGTGTGTGGGCCACGCAGCGTGCAGCCAGGGAGGGACACGGCAGCGGGCAGTCATGAAATCAATCGGTCGAGTCCCAGGGGCACTGGCGACCCAGGGCAGCAGGCCCTGGTCTGACCCAGCGGCCCCACCCGCCACAGACGAGGGCCTGTGTGGTGGGCCGGCCAGCCCTCGGCATGTGACGGCGGCCGGTGGGGCTACCGGGCGGCCACCCTCTCCCACACCCAGCCCTGCAGGGCTGCATGAGGGTATTTTCGGGGGTAAGGGGAGGTGGGCAGCCGCATCTGAGCCCGGCCTCGGTAATTGGAAGGAAATGCCCACTACACAGCTCCCACCCCACACAGCCTGCAGTGTCTTCCAGGGGCTCTGCACCCACACTCCCTCCAGGCCATGCCTGAGGGTTCAGTGGGCCGCCAGGGCCCCTGGGCAGCCCTCCCCTCCCCCAGCCCTGACTGGAAACCCCACAAGCTCTGCATTCGTTCCTGTGGCTGCTGTAAGAAATACCCCAGAGCTGATGCTTCATGCAACCTAAAACCATTCTCTGCGGTTCTGGAGCCAGAAGTCCAGTGTCGGCGTCACTGTGACGAAGTCCGGTGTCCTGGCCGGCTGCCAGCGGCCCACCTGGGTCTGCAGGTTCTGGGGGGGAATGTCCATTTCCTGGCCTTTTCTGTGGAAAATGAAAAGGCTGCCGAGATTCCTTGGCTCCTGACCCTTTCCTCGGGTCACTCCGACACAGCCCCTTGGCCCCCCTCTTAGAAGGACACACAGGGCTGTACATGGGGCCCACCTGGGTCACCCCGTGACTGGATTCTTAATTCAGTGACACCTGCCAGGGCCACCTGGTACAAGGCAACGCATCCACAGGCCCTGAGGATCACGATGCAGACGTCTTCGGGGGCCATTTATTCAGCCCACCATACCCCTTCACCCGGCTGTCCAGATGCCCACCCAGGACCTCCTTGAGGTCACCCTTACAAGCTGATGTTGACCCGCAGCTAGTGAGGAGCCGCCTCAGAGCGCGGCCCCTGCCACGCCCTTCAGGGGTAGGGTCTAGGGGGACCCTCCAAGAGGCCAGCGTCAGGGCAAACAGGCCCGACGCCCCCGACGCTGGGCGCGGCAGTGCCTCGGATGCAGGGGTGAAACACAAGAACCATACCAGGCTGGTCTCAGCTGGGCGGGGAGGGAGGACATGGAGGCTCAGCGAGGTGGAGAGACTTCCCAGGGTCACACAGCCCTGGTGTGCTGCATGATTCAAGGGTGCTCCCGTGGACAAAAGCCAGGCCTGACCTGAAGCAGAGCCTCTCCCCTGCCCCCTAGCCCCTGCGGCAGGCGTGACCAGGACACTAGTGGAGAAGGAGCCGCCGAGCCCCTGTGAGGGGAGGGCCAAGCCGCTCCAGTGCTCCGGGAGCCCCCAGCAGAGCCGCCCCGGCTTGGCCATGTGGGAAGGCCTGGTGCTTTATTTTCATTACCCAGCACGCACCGTGGAGCCTCCCAGTAGGCGGCCTGGGCTCTGCAGAATTTATTTATTTACATGGGAACTCAGCTTCGAGCACGGAGCTGAAGGAATGGTTCATTTGGCGCCAGCCCCAGGCTCCTCGGCAGGGGCCTGCCCACAGCAGCCTTCAGGGCCAGGGGACAGGCCCAGCAGGAGAGCAGGCAGGGCCAGGCCAGGGGTCAGCTGGGCCGTGTCCGACTCCTGCTCTGGAATTCTGGCTTGGGCCGGAGAACGGAGTGGTCGGGATGCCCCCCCTGCCCCGTCACGGGGGAGAGAGGTGCTGTGCCCCTGGGTTTGCCCGTCACTCCAGGACGTGCTTGGGAGACACTGGGTGACACAGTGGGTGCCAGAGGCGGAGCCTGTCCCCTCTGAAGTCAGCTGCCCCTTCTCCCCCTGACACCTCAGATCATGCACCAGCCCTCCCGCCGGGCTGCGCCCGGCCGTGTGCCATCCTCGGGGGAAGAGCCCCGCATTCAAGGAGCAACCCCAGGCCGTGGCTCCGGCCCTTCCAAGAGGTGGCCAGCCTGAGAGGCAGTCCCTGCCCTGCCTGGCCAGTCCACGGCGGGCGGCTGCCCCCGGGGATAGCTCACTGGGGTAATTGTTCTACTCGCAGCCCCAGAGGCCCCTGCGCAGCGGTGCCCTGGCCGGGGAGGCCGTGGCTGACAGCGGGAGGGGGCGCAGGCGAAGCTGCCGGGCGGGACCTGCATCCCGGGGTGGAAGCCGGCAGCGATGGGCAGGGCAGGCCGAGAGGCTCCTCCATATGCCCCCACCCTGTTGAGCAAGCCCTCCCGGGCCGGGTGGGAGGGGGCCCCGGAGCGCGGAGGGAGGCCAAGGGTGCGGCAAGTACGGGGCTTATCGCCCACCAGCCTTTGGGGCCCTTTTGGAGCCCCGCACAGCGGGATCAGATGGGACTGGCCTGTCGGGAGGACTGCCCTGCCCTCTCGGGGGCCCGACACCCGGAAAACCGGGGAATGCATGGGCGGGGCCAACATTTAAACATCCTTCCACTCTGAACAGAGCAGTTTTCCTGGAAAATCCGTCCTAATCCACCAGCCATGACTTAGGAGGGCACCCTGGTCGCCCTGGTGACCGCCGCGGAGCTCCCGCTGCCCTCTGCTGTGCCAACGGGTGTCCTTTTGAAACCGCCCCATTAGCCGTTTGCACCCGAGGTTCTCATCTTAATGACTGGGAATGTGTGGCCCCGAGCCCGTCTCGCGCTGGCGGTGAAGCCAGAGTCCGGCTGGCGGAGCCCTCAGTGGCCCGGGCCTCCCCCTCCAGGTGCCAGCACCACCCCCACAGCCCGCCCGCAAGGGCAGGTTGCCCGGCCCGGCCCCCTCCCAGCCCTCCTCAGTGGGGCCAACCCCCCCTTCAGGCACCTGAGCCCCCAAGCCCCGCCCTGGGCAGACACCTGCACCTGGGCCAGGGGAAACCCCAGTCTCAGGCCACACTCTGCTGCCCCCTCCCCTCCCGCCACCCTCCGTGAACCAAACTCTGAAGCCTCCCCGGATGCTTCTGGAGTCAGGAGTCAGGCCCTGCCCTGTGGTCCCCAAGCCCATTCATGGGGGTGAACAGGAGACGGGGGCAGAGCAGGAGACTCAGGCCCTCACGCACACCCCCAGCTGCCACCGGGAGGGGCTGGGCGCTCGGCCTCGGCTGCCCAGGCGTCTCTGGCGGGGAGTCCGCGGGCGTGGCCCGGGGCAGCTGGGCTCCTCAAAGGACGGCCAGACGGGGACTGCACCAGTCCGGCGGCAGGAAGCAGGCCGGGCTTGGCGGCAGGCGGCGGGAGTGACAAGAAGCCCTTGAATCCCATTATGGATTAATCGGCAGATGGGGCCGCGGCGCCGTGCTGGGCTGCCACGCCGCCGCCTCCGGGCCGCCCACGGCCCCCACACGCCCCCCGTGAAGACGCCCTGAACCCTGCCCTGAGCACTGGGGTAGGGAGTCTGGCGGCCTGCAGAAGGGGGAGGCCCGGGCGTCCCCCAGCTGGGAGACACACCCCCCCCCCAGGCCACCACCGCCATTCCCCCGCTCCCACCCGGCGCCCCAGGAAGGGGCCCACCCTCCCCGGCCTCCTGGAGAGCCAGGCCTCACCACTGCCCTGCAGGGGGAGCCACTTCCCATTGTACGGAAGAGCAGGGGCGCAAAGGCTGGAGACACGGCCAGGGGGTGCAGGGCGGTTTCCAGCAAGCCCGTGAGAACTAAAGCCAAAAATGAAATGCTCCCCCCACCCCCAAATCCTAGTCCTTAGGTAAGTAGAGCCTCCTGGGTTTATGAAGTAGACGTCCTCCCGCTGGCATTGCCTTGTGGAATATTAGGGTGCACCAGGGAAGCCGCCGGGGCCCGGCTGACGCCCCCAACCCCCGAGCTGAGCCTGGCTCCCTGCACCTGCCCTTGAGCCCACGTCTTCCCCGCGCTGCCCTCGAACTTCTGTCACCGAAACCCAGCCCCGCTCCATCTGCTTCCATGACCAGGATCGCGTCGAACCCGCCACTGTTTTTTTTGACTCCAGCTTCCTCAGGGCTTGGGGACGTCCGCTGGGCAGTTGCTGCTGGGAGGACTGGAGCAGGACTCACCCCAGCTTGAGTGTCCCTCTGCCCGGCCTCGAGCTGAAAGCTCCTCTCTCGCCCCCTCTGCAGATGGCCGCTCTCCAGAGCCCCTTCTACGGTGACAAAATGAACCTGTTCTCCCTGTGCCAGAAGATCGAGCAGTGTGACTACCCGCCCCTGCCCGGGGAGCATTACTCAGAGAAGGTGAGTGGGCGGCCACCAGGGGCCAGGCCTGCCGAGGCCGGACCCGGCAGGGACAGCACGGCGTGGCCACAGACGTGACCCCTCACCACGCTTGTGGGGTCGCCGAGCTGTCCCGAGCTCGTCCCTCGTCCGTGACATGGGGCCGATCCCGGCAGCCGGGCCTCACGGGCCATGTAAGGGCCGAGCTAGCTCATGTGACAGACCCCTCTGCCCCCGCCCCCACTAACATTGCACCCCACGGTCACCTGACGCAGGGCCGGTGGGAGCAGGTGCTCAGCAGGCATCAGCTACTGTCCTCGCTTCTGCTCACGGTGAGGGTCGCGGGAGATCGGGGGTCCGAGACCTCCCTGGGCCCGCCTCCGGGACCACACCGAAGAGGCCAGGGCGCGGCCGGGTTGGGAAGCGTCTCCAGGTCCCCGCAAGGCACCTCGGGAGGAAGAGCCCCTGTGCTCTGCGGTGGGAGTTGGCAGGAAAGTTGGCGAGATTCCCTTCTCGAGTTCCTACTTGCGCTGGTTTGCTCTTCTCATCTTCTAAATTTGGAGACTGTGCCCTTCGGAGCAAGAAGTCAGAGCCCCGCGCCTGGGGCACGTCACGACTTCTCTGTGCCTCAGTTTCTCATCTCTACAAGAGAACCCTAATCTCTGCCCCAGGGACATGGAGCTGACATGAATGAGTCCATGTCCAGACCCGGCCCTGGTCTCCCAAGTCAGTCACCCCAGCTCGCGAGGCTCCCCAAAGCATGCGCTCTCGCGGGCTCAGCCACCACCAGCAGCATTTCTGAGCTCGGTGTCCGGGCGCAGTGGTGCGGGAGCCCCTCGGCCACCTCACTTGTTACGTCACCTCTTATTTTCCTGTTTTCCGTTTCTGAACATTTTCAAGCACGTGCTTCGTGCCAGCCGCACCGTCTGCTTGACTCAGTTTGGTCAAGGCCAGCCACAGATGTTGGGGTTCCGTGTACGGGTTCTGGGTCCCTCTGAGAAAGAGCTCAGCAGGGTCCCCCATCAGCGGCACATGGCAGTTTTATAAGGGAAAAGTGCAGGCAAAATGCAGGCAAAGGCTGCGTATAAAAAGGGCAGTTTATTAGGAAGAAGAGACACCTGCACAGATGCAGACAGGCCGTTTTAGGGCAAGACCTGCGTTTTGCCAGAGCAGGGGGCATCCTTATAGTGTTCTTTGGGGCGATTCATTCATTTGTAAAATGTTATCACTTTGCGGTCAGGTTGGGCCGGTTTTTTATAAAGACAGATAATCCTTTCTGACCACACCTCTGGTTCTGGAAACTTCCATAGCTGGGCTTTATCATGCCCACCCCCAGCTCTGGTTTTTGACCGTGGAGAACTTCATGCTTAATATTCTCCTCGAAGCTTCCACCAACAGCTACCTTCTCCTGAGCGCTAAGGAAACTGGCACTCTGGGCGTCCAGGCCACCGCAGGCTCAGCTGCCCCTGCCCAGCTTTCCGGTGTTTATGGAGCAGTGGACGCCTGCAGGGAGGGCCGTGCTGGTCGGAGGGGACACTTGCTCAAAATGCCTGACCTCAGGGATCCCTTTGTAGCAGGAAATCGACCCCGGCCCCTCCGCCTGAAACCCCTCACAGTGTGCAGGAGCCCCGGGGCCCCCACATGACCCCCCAGCGTCCCCAGACTCCCTGCACTTGGCCGCAGAGTCCACCTGTGCCCCCAGTGCAGGACCTCCCCTCTCCGCGCTGGGGCTCCTGACCCGACCCAACCCGACCCTGCCGGGCGCCAGCCCTCCCAGCAGCAGGTATTTAAATACAAAAAAAAAAAAAAATGCAGTGAGCCCAGTGATGCAAGTTAAGATGTAGGCTTTTTAAGGTCATTATTTTAATTACCATTAAAATAATTGGCACTCCGGCTATCAGAAGGGAGGGATCAGAGGCACATGTGCCCCTCCCCCACCCTGGGCTGGCGCTGCCTTCAGCGTCTGTATAATTAAAAGCTCCGTCTTTCGCGAGCACAATAAAGAGGCCAGGGGGTGGGCAGACTGCAGCCCTGCTGCATGTTAATGCATTTATTATGATCAATAAGCCCTTGCCTTGAGTGTAGTCCTCTGGTTTAGGCATCTGCGTGACTGACAGCAGACACACACACACACACACACACACACACACACGTGTGTGTGCGCGCACACACACACCCCCAGTAGACAGTTGAAAGTTCAGAATCATTTGGAGGTGACAACTCTTGGGGCCTCAAGGTGCAATCTTTGGGGACAGACAGGCCGAGGCTAGGTCCTGGCACCCCACCCCCACCCCCAGTGGTCGCGACCATCCCTCACCCTCTACGCCTCATTCCTCATCTTCCAGCCACTGTGGGGGCGCGGTGCACCCTCTACAACTCATTCCTCATCTTCCAGCCACTGTGGGGGCGCGGTGCTGGGGCCGCCTCCTCCAGGCTGCTTTCTTAAGACTCCAAACCTCTCTCCTCTGCAGCTGCGAGAACTGGTCAGTATGTGCATCTACCCCGACCCGGACCAGAGACCCGACATCGGCTACGTGCACCAGGTCGCCAAGCAGATGCATGTGTGGAATTCAAGCACCTGAGGGGCCGCAGCAAGTCTCAGCAGAAGCCAGCACCACCTCGCCTTACTCGAGTCTTCTCTCCCAAGTGGCCACCCGGTAGCCTAGATCAACTGAGACAGGAGGGTGGGGGCGTCACAGCGGAGGTGTGCAGAACGGCTGGGGGGGCGCTGGCCACAGTTGCTGGTGGCCGCATTCGGAAGCCCTTTCTTTCAACGGTGGGACGGTCTCAGCGGGGTGGCCGGCGAGCCCCTGCCGTCCACCCCCACCCCATGGTACCCCGTGTCTCCGGATGGTAATGTGAATCTTTTGGATAATCCCTTCAGTCAGCAAAGGCTTCTACTAACAGAATTGCAGGAGACCAGTTTGTGGTGAGCCTCTGCAAAGGGTAGTAGCAGTTTAGCTCTTAGACTCTCCTCAGACCACCAAGCTGTGTGCTTAATTTTACTCTGTTGTATAAGGATAACCTGGAGCTCATTTTTTAAAGTACAGCGGAGATTTTCCTACTATTTTTATCTACATAAAATGATGGAGGACAATGAGGACCCAGCTTCTGGCATCAAACTTCTGCGAGGAAGGCAAACAGAATTGGAAGGCCGCGTTTTCTACGCAGCTGGCTCAGCCCTCTCCCGCCCCAGCTGCCTGCCAGGCGCTTACCCCAGTCTGGGCGCTGGCAGTGCAGTTCCCCATCAGTGTTGAGCCTTTTCTTCCGTGGGAAGGCAGCGAGGGGTACAAAAAAGTTTCAGGGCTTGCCCTCAGGTGGTTCTCTGAACAAATTCTCGTTCAGCAACTCCAAGTATGACCTGGGCAGGTCTCTTGGCCTTTCCTAGTCTTCATCTATGCTCTCGACCTTCAGGGTTGATGACAGAATTTGAAATAAAATGCCCAACTCGCACGTGATAATCCAAAAATGGCAGCCACACCCCCCTCACATCTGCAGTCTGCGGACCACGTCAGTCAACACACAACTGTGCAAGTGTAGGAAACCAGAAATGTGTTCATTCATCTCTTGTTCCCAAACAGGATTCACTGTGAAGACTAATTTATAAATGTGAACGTAAAGGAAAACTCAAACTCTGAAGGAAATAGTTGCAATTTTGTTTTTATCCTCAAGTTAATCCTCCAATGTCTAAGTTGTTTCACTGACTTGGTGACAGTTCAGCCTCCAGCGGGTGCCCGCCCGCCCCGCTGGTGTCCTGGTCGGGAGCGCTGCCCGCGGCTGACTCCCTGGGGATAAAGGCCGCGGGCGGGGCCCTGCTGTTTCCACCTGTGAACTCTTCTACTGTAACTCTGTGGGGCTTGAGATTTTCTTCAGATGCAACCTTTGCTTTGTACTTGCTCTCCGGGATTGAAATAAAATGGGGCCAGGTTACTCCTATGAGTGGCTGTGATTCATGGATGGTTTTAAAACAGCTTCACGTGGCAGCACAATTTCTTGAGGCGCCTTGAAGAAACTTCTCAGGCCCCAGACATTCTGAGTAATCCTGGAACTTTCTTAAGTTCCCCAGATAATTTTGATAATATCTGCCAAGTTGCTGCCTTAACAATTCCATTGTTCTCCCTACTCTGCTCCTGGCGAGTCACAGGGCAGCTGGCCCACGCGGAGACCCGGGTGCCAGGCCTCCTTCGCTGGCCCCCAGCCCCGCTGTCTCCTGGCTGCACCGCTGATATCTTCCTGGCCCCAGACAGTTTGTTCGCAAGTATCCTGCTCTCAAGGCGCCCCCATGGCCGCGTCTCCCTGTGCGGGATCAGCTTCAGACACAGATGAACTAGCGCTCGGCACACTCCCGGGAGCTCTGCCTGCGGCACGGGATTTCAACCACACACCAGGTTTGAGCGCTGGTGAAACGATCATGTCCAAACTGCTGCAAAAGTTAAGTAAGCCCCAAAGCACTCCCTTGGCTCGGTGACGCTGGCCAAAGTGGAGCCTGCCGGTTGCTCGAAGCTCAGGCAGAGCAAACCGCCTGCCCAGCTGCCTTTCCCTGGTGTCAGAACCGAGCTGTGCTTGAGCAGCCACGCCGGGGGGAGGGGTTCTCTCCCCGTGGCTGCTGGGGTCGAGGCTGCGCTGCCACATCCTAACCCAGCAACGCCGCGTCGCCCTCAATGAGAAGGCACAGCAGGTATGAACACGTATCTGAACACTCGAACCACCTGGCTTCCTGCAACAGAGACGGCCTGGTCTGCTCTCAGGGGGCTGCGCTCATGCACCCCCAGCTGGAAGCGGGCTACCAGGCGGGGAGGGAGCACATCCTGACAGGGGGCACATCCCAGGGCAATGGGCTCAGCGTCCAGAAACCCACATGACCCGAGACTCAGCCACTCGGTTGGTTTACGGTTTTTATTGTTTCATTCAGGAAACACAGGGGAGCCTCGGATGCCCGCGGCGTCCACAGCGGCAGCCCGCCCTCACCGCACCCTCAGGACGTGTCCATGGTTTGGACTGTCTCTTCTAGCACCTCGATTTCCAGGGTAGTGACCTTCTCGGTGAGCACGGCAGTGGTCCCTTTCTCACACCTGTACCGGCCAAACCTAGAGAGAGGGGCACACAGTCAGGCGGCACGCAAACCTCCTGCCTTCCCCGCCACTCCCACAGGTGCCAGGACACACTGGCGGTGTCCCTCCACCTTCGGCCTCCCGCCAGTCCCCTCAGCAGCGCCCAGCCCGTAGGAGCCTTCATGCAGCTTCCATCACCCTTCTCTGTCACGACAAGATGACCTCACAGTTACCACAAGCACTTGCGACAAACTGAAGATGCCCACAGCCAGGCTTGGCTTGTCGCTTTAGAGCATTCTCCTGAAACTCAGGAACGGCGAGGTGACGGTCCCCTGCAGGGACACCGCACAGCAGCACCACCACCTTCTCAGAGTGAACCCGACAGAGGTTTCTCTGCGCACCAGGCAGAGAGAGAGACACAGGACTTGCACCTTCCTGTGTCCTCCCCAACCGGAACTGACAGGTGCTTCCCTGGTTCAAAGGATCAACAGCGACCACCTTGTCCCACACTGTCATTTCGAAGTCATGGGAGGTGAACCAGCTCCAAGCCCACCCAAGGCAGACACTCCCTGCCCCAAGCCACAGCGCTCGGCTGCTGGCCGCTCCTGCCCTGTCAGGAACACCTGGCGTTTGCACAGTGCTGAGTACCCACTGCAACTGACACCTCCTGCTCTGGAATGTGTGTGTATGGAGTGGGTGTTAAGCATTCCAGAAGGTGTTATCCTCTGGCCCGGCTGGGGGCTGAGTGGGAGGTGGCAGTTTAGAGAGCCTGCTGTGCTCAGCACAGACGAAGGGACAGGGGCCGCGAGCCATGGACCAGGCAAGCAGCTGCACCACCAGGAGGAGCTCAGCTGATGGCTGCCGCAGGTAGGAAAGTGCCAGTTCTCTCTGCAAGTCACCTAGCGCCTTGTCCCCACGCCGTGCCTGACACTCGGTGGCAGACATCACGGGTGAGCTCCAAGGCTGACCTGTGGAGACTAGGCCACAGTCTCCACAGTGCCTGAGCGGCCTTGGCGCTCTCTGAAAAATGTACCTTCTCCTGGAATTCATGGTTCTCTTCAGAGCAGAGAAAGGACAGCAGGTGACTCAAGCCTCTCCTTCTCACCCCCCAGTCCAGAGCTCTCGTCCCCACTCTGCCCCCACCCCCATCAGCATTTTACAAGTCAAGTCACTGTCTACACCTGACCGCAGCGCACAATCATAAAGCAAAGACTGACTTGAAGGCCTGCTGTGTAAGGCTGGCTGGAGTCGCAGGAGTCACTCTCTGTGGGAAGGCATTAAGAAAACCTGTCCAGACGGCAGGGTGGCCACAGAAGCCACGGGCCAGGAAGAAAGTCATCTCCTTCACTCACCTGGTCCCCTTCTTGTTGGGCACTGAGTATGGACGGAGAAAGTCCAACTTGGCCTTGCTGATGACACAGAGATCAATGTTACTTCCAGACCCCAGGTCATTGAAGATGCCGGCTGCGATGGCTTCACTCACCAGCTTCTTGGCTTCTTCCTCCTGAGAAAAAGAATGGCAACAATAATATCCAGAGCCGAGCGGGGGCGCCTAGAGAGCGCTCACTAGCTGCAGGCACATCACCTGTGAGGGTCAGCACTATTTTCAATCCCCCTTTCATAGAGAAAGAAAAGTCTCACAGTACCTCACTGATTTGCCCAAAGTTTCCCAGCTGGCAGGTGGGGGACCAGGTTTTCACACCTTTTAGTCACACCCCACCCCCTGAAGTGACTGCTCCACGTCAATCACCACACAGCTGAGGACCATGGACGGACAGCAGTTTACCATCTAAAACAGGGTCAGGAAACTTCTCCCATGAAGGATCAGGTAGTAAATATTTTAAGCGTTGTGGATATATACTCTTTTGTCCTAACTACTTAGTTGGGTCAAAGGAGCATAAAATAGCCACAGACAGAACCAGTAAAACTCATTAACCAGATGGCTTGTGGGCTGCCTTAGGCCCACAGCCGTAGTTTGCTAACCCCTGACCCAGAACACCCAACATTATGTTCCTGGTAACATAAAGAGAGTCCATGTCATGGAAAAGCCGACACCGCACACAACACAGGTTCCGGGGAAATGCTGACGCGCCCGGGGACCCACGGACTCGCGCCCACAGGCCTGCAGGCTCACTGAGACGATCCGTTTCTTTGAATCACCTCTATCCTACTTGTTTAATAAGCTGAATTCCCTAATGTTATCCATGAAAAACTGGAATGATTCACTTCTTGTCCAAGAAGGCCTGTCCCACGCCTGGTCCTGCGCTGAGAGGTAGAGCTGCAGGCACGGATGGAGGGGCTCCAGGGCCCGGGTCTGGCGGGGCTCAGCATCCAGTGGGGGCACTAGTACGTACAATGGAGTCTGGTGACGGCACCAGGCTGGCTGAGGCAGCGCTGCGGGAACACTACTTGCATCGGGGAGGGCTGGAGGACACTCGCACACTCAGAAAATAGGAGAGTGAAACAGAGGCAGCAGGGCAGGACCCGAGGAACACCAAGTTCAAGCTCTTACTATTAATACAACACGGACCAAAAAAAAAAAAAATCTCTAATTTATCTCCCCTCTCCACCCATGTATAAACATAAACATACAACTGAATTAAAAAGTCAACCAAGTAACACCCTTTGAGAAACACAACCCACCCCTCCAGCCCTAAAACTCCAGCCTGAGCTGTCACAGAGCAGGTCTGCTGACTTGGCATTGTGAGAAGAGCCATTCCGGGCTCCTGCTCCTCTGCCTGCCCTAAGCCAGGAAGGGATTCCAGTGACGTGAGTGCCCTCTACAGACTCAGAGGAGGAAAGAAAAGATCAGCCAGAAGTGGGCTCCTCAGCAACCCAGAGCAGGAAGCTGGGGCTTTTTTATTCCAGGTTTTCTCACTTCCTAAGTGGCACTCAGGTGCGGCCACCTAGCTGGTTATTCTCTTGTGATGTGCAGGACTGTAAGAACACATTCAACAGGATCCTCTAATCCGGAATTCTCTTCTGGCATCCCCAAATCTGGGGCCAGGAGCTTTACCAAAACTTAGTAATGGAGGTGGCCAAGAAACTTCTTCAAGATGGCTGCTGCCATCGCCCCAGAGAGCAAACCCCTGCCCGAACTCCACCTGCGACTTCCTCCCTAGCTGACGTGAGCGCACACCACAGGGCACCTGCACAGTCTCCTGACCCCGACCCACCACCCCCTCTTCCTGGCCCTTCTCTCTGCTTTATTGATTCCTTTGCTTTGTCATCACTGCTTTTCTTATCACTGCCGCGGGTGCCTTGGGCCAGCAAACAGTACCTAGTGAGTGTCACAAATCTTGCTGGCAGCACTTAGGAGTGAAGATTTAAAATAATTAAATTACCCTTGAGAAGAGGGATGGGGAAAGACTTAGAGAAAACCAAAACACACACACAAAGCGAGGCACGAGGCACGCATCTCTACTGTCAATTAGAGCAGGCACATGGGTGCCAGAATGCTGACAATGCTGAGATTACAGGTGATTCTCTCTCTGTTTGCAAGTATTCTGTAATGCAGTAGATGAACTTCTAAAATTTAAAAATGTGCAAGTCTTGAAATGTATTTGTATATAGCCTGACTTACAAAATTATCATGTGTGTTGTTATTTAAGTGACAAAAGGCTTTCAAAATTTGGGAAAATACACATTTAAATCTTTTCCTCCCTAATCCTAGGACAGATAATTCTTCCAGGAAGAAAATATCATGTATTTGATTTTTCCCCAGTTCTACTCCTCCCCACTCCCACCTCCTGGGCACAGGACCGAAGAGGTCACCAGACAATGGGCAGCATTACTGAGCACCTACTCTACACGGCCCACACAGAATGAAGCAGTGTGAGGAGCATCGTATTTACCCCTGCCCCTAACCACCTCGTAAGGCTGGCCTGTCAGGAGCTATGGCTGAAAGTCAATGACTCACCCAAGGTCACCAAGCTAGTAAACAATAAAGGATCCTCTGGGCACAGGCCGGAACACTACAGCACCAAGCAGCTCCCAAGTAAGCCATCTCAGCAAGTCAGGACCATGGAGAGCAGTTCCCTGATTCACATTAAGTCACCCCCCAACTACCAAACATCTTCAAAACCGGGACAAGTTTAACACAAGAAAGGCTGGACGACTAGCAGCTCCTCTGAGGGTCCTCTGAAGGTCATTTCCAAGACAGGGGAGGGATGAGCAGTGACTCCCAAACTACTCACAGACCACCACCTACCTATTTCTAATATATCAGAGATCAACACTAAAGCCCGAGAGCTTTTTTCACAATACCTCACATCCCACCCCACCCCAAATCCTCAGAACACAAATACAGGGAAGATTACCAAGGCTCTATGGTCTGCCCATTACTTACATAGTTGTTGTCTTTCACAAATATTTGGAACACCCACTGTGTTCCAGAATGTTTCATATGTTGAGATGGTCTTTTACTCCAGTAGTTCCACACCCAGAATTCTAGACACATATGCAAATATGCTACTGGGCATAGTCATACTGTGTTTTCTTTATAGTGGAATTTCATAATTAAACACTCTTGTCTTTAACACGTGCTACCAAATATTTAAGAAAACCATCGAGAAAAACTATAAACTGAAACAAGAGGTGGTGAAAACGCCACATTTTTATCTGTCTCTGGCCCACACAAAGTGCAGAAAGCATTGCTTCTTCCTTTGGGATTCATACTTCATAGAGAAATTTCTGGAAGACACAGAAAAACCTGAGCTCTGAGCAGCACCTGCCTGGGGAAAGCTGCTACCGAGGGGCTGTGACCGGGGCCCTGCCAAGCCTGAGACCCCAGCCGGTCAGGTGCGGGTGCAATGCTCTCTCCCACTGCTGGGGCCACGTCCTCCCGCCAGCTGCTCGTGGATTTACGTAGCTAGTCACAGGGAACTTGAAGTCCGTATGTAGACGGACTTGGCACCACTCATCCTGACCAGAAAAATAGCCCTCCAGGCCAATGGCAGTGTCTTTTCACGTAGAGATACTCAGCCTGGCTATCGAGGGGCAGTCAGTTGGGCAACCCAAGCTCAAGGTCACCTGGGCTGAGTGACTAGGTCTGAATCCCCACTTTCCTACTCATTGCTGTGCAACCTTGGGCAAGCCACTTCACCTCTCTGAGTTCATTCTCCACTTCTATGACATCGTGATGATAAATTAAGATTTATCACAGGACTGCTGCAAGAAATAAAATATAGAAAGCATGCGTGGACTGCCAGGTCTGGCCCATCGCTGCTGCTTAATAAACAGAAACGTATTTAAGAAGGCAAGCTAGAGGGCTCCGAGAAGTAGAGCCGATCTCTACGCAGTGACTGCTGCACAAAACCCCAGGCTAGGAGGAGGGCCAAACAAACTTGCTGACAAATCTTCACCCCGTGCCACAGAGAAGTTCCTCTAATAATTAATCCAAGCAAAAAGCACACTCCCTAAAAGTTCAGAGAATATAAAAGGAGCACTTCCTGCTTTATGGCTACAAAGACCAAACTAACTGGGAATATCAGTCCCCGGGGCCACCCCTGCTTCTTAAATGAGATTACAATAAGAGTGATGTACTGTGCGCGAGTCAGCCGTGACAAGCAGCACTTTATAGAGCTATCTGTTTGTCTCCATCACTGCAGCGCGCAATGTGTCCCCCGACTCCAATGTGCAGCTCCATTTACCGCTACATGACAAATGGGCAGCACTTGTAAAAGGCACAAAGAGGTCCACGTCGGCCATGTAATGGTCACCACAGCTGTACCCGAGTGCTTGAGGGGACAAAACAGACCCCCAAGTTCATTAAACTGACCAGTAATGGATCTTTCAAAAAGTGCCTTAGGAATCATACAGAAAAGGCTAAAATAAATAACTCAGCATGGAAGGCTAATCTGAAATGGTGTTTGATAAATTATTTATAACACAGGCGATTGTCTGCATTTAATATTGGAGCTACTAGTAGCATCTTTAAAAGATGATTTATGTGTTGTAATGCTATTAAACTTTATATTGGCCCACTGCTAGCTATAAAGTCTGCTGAGATTTAGAGAATGAGTTTTAAACTGTCACTGCAACATCATAGGAGATGGAGACTGTATTAAATCTTTACTTTAAACCTGTTATCTAGAGAGTTGCATTTTGTAGACACTCACAAACTGATAGATTACCTCGGCATCCACTATGGTGCAGGTCCAAAATAGTACCGCAAAGAAACTTTTGCACATTATTCTTGTCTACAGCTACAATTGAATTTCTCTTCTCACTTAAGTGATTTTTAGATTGGGAATGTCACCAGGGTAAAATGCAGGTGCCCCTGCCAATGGGCACCCTGGACAGCTCAACATCAAATTAATACTCCTTAAATAAACCCTCCACACTCGAGTGCTGGGTTACGCACATGCAGCAGCTTTACTTACAGTGGAGGCAGGCATATTAAATATGCATTTGACTGAAAACCTAACAGGCTATTTTAGATAGCGCTTTGGAATGTGAACCTACATGCAGACGGCCACATGTAGATGGCAAGTCATCTGCAATAAACAACTTGTAACTAAAAAAAAATCTTAAGAACCTAAAAAGGAATAAAATTGGTTATTTGTTGGAACATAGATTTCATTTATGTAACTGAGGCCCCAACATTAAGGAGTGGGTTGAGAAGGAGTCAACCTTCTTCTAGAAGGCACTGCAGGAGCAGCCCCTGCCTCCTGTCCCACTGTCACACAGGAGCCTGGAGTGGTGGCTCTCCCACCTTTGTGTGGGGGAACAAGGACGTGGGTGGCATCACAGGTAAACTCACACTACTTCCTCAAACCTACTTGCCATGAAGTGGAGCAGGCCTGGTGAGTTCAGTGTGTGCGTCTGCCAGCCACGGGGAGTTTACTAAGAACCGAATCACTCCCAATTTATCCCAGAAAATATACATTTTCCTTTGTCACTTTGATTTGAAAAGCAAAAATGCTATTGCATTGATGATGTGCAGCAGAGCACATAAAAGCTTGGGTGTGATGAGGCTTTGGACTCTAAAAAAAGGATGAAGTACCCCAAATCTGCACCCAGGCAGCCGGCACAGTGCTTGGCCTGGACAACCACAAACGACAACACAGAACCTCAAATGCATTCATGGCTTTGTCAAGGTAAAAGACAAAAATTCATCACAAGACCGATCTTTACCAAGACACAGTCATTCCAGAATGGCCCCAGTCCCAAGTAGGGATCTGGAGACAAGAGCGCTCAAAGGCAACTTAAGAAGAGGTTTAGATTCAGCGCTGTGTGGGGCATGGCCGTGCTGAGGAGCCGGTGAAGTCTCTGGTGCGGCCTGAAGGAGTCGTTCATGGCTAATGGTTGAATAAGATCTAAAGAGCTCAAACAAGTGTTTACAGCAGTCCCTCCAAAAGCAGAATGCTCCCTGTACTGGGTCACAGACGTGATGGATCCCACATGTAGCCACATATTTTACAATGGGAAAGGTTAATTTTTTTCAGACTGGGTTATGCGACAAAAGCAAAGGTGCTGGAGTTTTGGTTTTAGTTGGTGCTATTCGAGTGGGCTGGGGCTGCTTGTGTGAACCCCTGGGAACTGTGTGAACTTGTGTGAACCCCTGGGAACCCCTGTGAACCCCAGCTGCTAGAGCCGCAGCTGAGCGGGCCTGAGTGTGCATGAGCCAAGTGACCATCTCGAAGGTCTAGACAGCATTGCCATTTCTTTCCTCATAATGCTTCAGTGCCCGGGTTCTGGGCGATGCAAATAACAAAGGGCAAAGGGCAAAGACCGGGTTGGGGGGGGTTTAGAGGAGTGACTGTAGGGCTTTCAGACGGGTGGAAACGGGTGTTTCAGGTGCAAGGAATCACCACCCCACTCACTCACTGCCAGCACAACCTGTTCCAAATCACTGAATGGTGTAGAAGTCCAGGTGCAATTCAGGGCTGGGGCGGGGGGGGGGGGTTGGCCGCTGCTACACAACCACAGTGGGCTGGAAGAGGATGTCCCATAACGCCACGGAAGGAGAGAACGCCCGGGAGATCCGGGTCAGAGATGACCACTGGTCTCTCCGAGTCACAGCATGCCCATCAGCCTAGGCCCACTGGGAGGAATAAAGGGATGGGAATGCCCCTAACACAAGGATTTTGCAAAACACAGTTATTAGCAAGTTGTAGGGTAGAAGAAAGAGGCAAAGGTGTGAGCGAACATGGCCGTCTACCACAGAGGATGAGCCATGTGTTACCTCTTAATCTGCGTAAGTGCCGCTTGCACGGCAGAGGAAACTGAAGTTCCAGAAAGGGTGGCTGGTGCACTCAAAGATACATGCTGTGTACAACTCAGAGTGAGGGTCTGTGCCAAGCTAGTGCTTGGCATCATGAAAGCCTATGCCTCCCCCTCAGTAAATCGGAGGTGGGTAAGAGATTTTGCTGGATTCTGTGACAGCAAACAGAAGGAAAAACACCTAGGCTTCCAGAGGGAAAAGGACCAAGAGACAAGGGAGCATATTGCCTCCACGAAGAGAAGCCGCGCTCGCAGCATATGTGTATACAAATGTCTACTTCCACGGCTGCTCTGACTCAGACGGAATCAGAGAAAACTAACAAGAAAGACTGAGAAACATGCTCAACTACCCCTCGAATGAGAGCCAAGCTGCCCCAGGTAGTAATAAGATCTTGATAACACTCTCTCACCATAAAATACTCGGTCAGTGATAACTCTGCCAACCAATTCCTGAGCTGCTGAGGTATCACCCAAAAATGGGGCTTAGAAGGGGCTTCAGGGGAGATGAAAGGAATTTGCTCTTCTGGTCGCAACTACTGCAGAAAGGAGCGCATGCACGGTGAGCCGCCCACCTCCAGGTGCGGAGCAGGAAAAGCACTGCGAAGGGCAGGGTGCGCGGGAAGACTCCAATGAGGATGTGCCCCGCACAGTCCTGCTGGTGACCTCCAAAGGAGTAGGAAGAACTGAAAGGACACCCCAGAAAGTATCACCCACACCCTTGCTCTAGGGAGTTTAAAGATGGCCATAAAAGAAGCAAATTCCAAATAATGGCAACTTCCTGGAAAAAGCATATGGGCCCACTTGGTTCAGCAGGCATTTACTAAGGGCCCAGGAGTAACGCTCCAGACACTGTGGACACTGAAGACAAGGTCTGCACAGCCACAGGCCCTGCCCCCAAAGAGGGCACCATCCAGAGGGGAAATAAGCAGGCAAGCACACAACAGCTGGGCACGGGAGGACAGGTGGACCGCGGCCTCCCGGGTGCAGTGAGGACAGCCTGGCTGAGTCCTGACACCCCAGTCAACCACAGCCCAGCCGAGGGGCAGAAGCCATGGCAGGAGTAAAGCTTCAAGGGTGGGAGAGAGAGCAGTGTGACATGTAGGGAGGTCGGCATGGCTGAACACCAGAGAGCCAACCCTTTGAGCTGGGCAATGGAAAATTTTAAGATCGCAAATGATGTAGTTAAGAGTTGTGCTTTCAGAAGCTGCAGCTTGAAAGGAGTGAGGCAGGAGAGGAAGGGCTAGGAGAGGAGGTGATTATAACAATCCCGACGCAAGATGGGGTGGCCCAGGAGGGAGAAGCATCAGCAATGGGACTAGGAGGGTGGATGTGGGAGCAGAGGAAGCAGCGGCTGGTGAGAATGCAGGAGAGGGCGACCCACAGGTGCCACCTGCACTCCCAGCATCAGTCATGAGCACTGACCACACTCTGAACAAACTCGGCCTTCACAGAAAGGCCCTTTGTAACTTTTTGGCAGCTCTTTTTTGGTGCACTGATGGGAGATAACGATCAACTTAATATTTTCTAGACACCAGAAAGCTTCTTCAACAGGAGCTCGAAAGGGTGTCACCAAAAAGAGACAAGAAAAAGGTAGTCAGTAAAAGAGCACTGAGCACGTTCTGGGCTCATGCATGCCACTTCAATGATGGCAGGGCCCTCGGAGTAGGTCTAGAGTGTGACAGAGCATAGGGAGTGGTTAACTCTGGGGCAAGGGCGAAGGGGAGGAAGAGAAAGCAACTCTAAGAAGTGCGGTCATGAGGGCCTGGCCATGGTGCAAGATAAAGCCAGGAGGAAGCAGCAGTGGACGGGCCCAAGTGACACAGACAAGCAGAGCAGCCACCTGGCATCTGTGTGCTAGGAGGATGCTGCTCCTCCTTTCCTTGGGACCCCAGGCATATGCAGTCTGCACAGGAACTCTCTAAACAGAAGCCTCCCGGGAGGCGGCGGGGGGGGGGGGGGTGGTGGTGGTGGTGGTGATGGGAGCCTTTCAAAGGGACATAAGCAAATTTCTAAAGCCTACGGACATCCTTACCGTACTGATCATGGTGACCGGCGGGGTGGGAGGCAGAGGCAAAGAATTTAAGAGAATGAAGAGGACCCCGGAGATTCGGATATGAATTGAGTCCTGTTACTTACAAGCTGCATGACCCTGGTGATAGTCACTCCATACTTTTATATCCCAATTTCCTCATCTGCAAATGGGGTTGAAAACCACCCAGCACGTGTCAGTCACTTGTGAGGACTGAAGCAGCAGTCCTTGCAAAGAGAAACCTGGGGTACAGAGCTGCAACGCAGGAGACCCCCGTGGAGCTATCCCTCCTCCACTGCTCACAAACATGGTTAAGGAGGCAAGACACCTAATTTCCGAACTGCCAGCAAAGTTCGGGTGCCATTAACAGTGCTTTTGCTTTTTCAACCCCGTTTAAAGCAAATCAATTATGAAAGTAAGCATGACACTGGAGATGAAATTCAAAAGGATGCCATAAAATGCTGTGTTCACATGAGCATACAGGATTTACTGTCAAGTCAATAAGAAATGCACCAAGCAGCACGTACTTATTACATTTCATTAGAAACTATTCTAAAGGAGGCAGAGGAGAACTGACATTCGCCGCATGCAGACTCCATGCCAAGTGCATTACTTCACGTACTCCTGCAAATAACGCTGTTTACGGTGGACACGACCCTTATCCCCATGCTACAAATGCAGAAAACCAAGGCTCAAAAATGGAAAATGACTAACCCAGAGACACTCGACCAACAAAACTGGAAGGTCTGAGAGTCACAGTTTTGTCTAACTCCACAACCATGTTTTTTCATTCAAGACAACAGAAGTTCCAAACAATTAGTCTCCACAAATGGGAATGACGCTTGCCGGGTCCTCAGATGTAACTGGTAAATCACTGATGGGCTGACATTTTTAAAGTAATTCACCGCTAAAATTCCTCAAAGTTGCTAACCCATCATTCCATCATTTATCTGCCCTGTTATATTTGGTAAAATCAAACTACCCAGAAGTCCTCAAATACAGAAGCTACACTC